CTGGGGGCTACTCATATATCAGGTACAAATAAATAGCTTGCTCTACATACTGCCTCGATCACACACTACAGCAGAAGATATTAATTACCTTTTCAACCTGGTTTGGGTTTAAGTGTTTATATGCAAATACAGTACAGTACCTAAGTTCTTCATACATCACTGCTTAATGCCTATTCGGGAGTACTCTGATGTAGTTGTACTGTGTGTCAGTTAAATTTTGTCTGTAGCAGTTAAGTGAATGCATTCCTTCACCATACCATACACCTCATTTAATCACTTAACAATGTCCCACAAAACAAGGCACCTTGTTCACCACCTTCATAAAAATACATAGAAATCTTCGTGCAGTTATGACCACACCAAGTGCAGATTGCTAGATGCTACTACACCACCACAAACAGTCCATCTCTCATTCTCTAAAATTGACTAAAATTGAAATAAATTTACTCATTCATGAGGCACCCTTGTGTACAATACTATTTATGCATCATATTTTATCCATCACATTTATGTAATCAAGAATCAAATAATTAAGTACTCTTGACACAAATTTAAACATGTTATATTTAAATTTCCAGCATGTCAGTTTTACCACGACATATAAAACCTTAATGAACTTCATAATTCCACTCTAATTCCTTTAAATTTATTTTAAGTTCCATAAACTAATGGCAGGACAGTGGCAGAAAATTTTATATGAAGTGCGAACTTCAGTAAGAAATTACACATTCTGTCATAACAAAATCACAAGTTTTATGAATAATTATTTCTTACCACATTTCAATTCAACCTATATGATCCTTTTGCAAATGTTGGATGATATGCTGTAAAAAACAAGCGGAAGGCAGCGTTCTGACTTCTTTCTGGGGAATATCTTGCGCTGGAGCAGCTTACACACCACCTCTATGTCGTCCTTCTGTTCTGGGAACCTGAGGAGTAAGTAGGCCATTTATGTATTACATTCACTGAGAACATTTCTCTTAAATTCTATGAAGTATTACATTATAATTATGATACAGATGTTTTAATATGACAAGATCAACTCAGATAATAATATGCAAATCCAATTCAATATTCCCATAGCCTCCTGTCTCATATAACTTTGAAACTTATCAGGAATGATTGTAACTGACATTTCTATACAGTACTGTATGTTCCCTAACATATTTACTATAACGGAACCATACTTGAATCATAGCACTACTACATGTAATGTATGTATTTTAATTTTGTATTTTACACTATGTATTGTACAATAGTTACAATGTAAACAGAAAACACTTACATATTTTTTACATCACTGACTGTCTCATTAAAACTTTTGGCGGTAGTATCCACGTCAATGGCTCCAAGAGCAAGCAGGGACTTTTTGTCAAGTTCTACTGCCCAAACATCCACAGCTGTATTTGAACCAATGCTTGGCCAGCGAGAATTTAAAGCCGTCTGCACATCTTTAGTGATCTGCAAGAATAATCCTTAGAAGGCAAGTACAGTATAGCATTTATAAATTCATGGATTAAATTCTCATCAGCCTTAGTTTAATGATTATAGATTTTTTTTAAGGCTTACTTTCCTAATACAGTTTGTTAGACCATGTCACAGAAACTTACAAACCAAAGAATAGAATAGAGGTTTTGGAGGCAAAGGAAAAGTGGAAGTGGGATTAGGAGATGGAGAAGCAGGGAGGGAGGAAAACATATGGCCACAATACATCAGATCCAGATCCACCAGATTACTTTTACCACCCCAAAAAATTGTCTCTCAACATGAACCACCTCAACTAGGCTCCCTGATGACTTCACATGCATATGGTCCATACAGTACAGTACTGACATAAAAAATTAATAACCTCTGAGCACATGTGCTGTACAGATGATCCATGTGTCCTCTTTCTTTACTGGAATTTTCCTGTTTCTCATACATAAGAAGTCACTGTGCTTTATGCAGTAACCATACACAGTATGTGTGTAATATATATACTGTACTGTACAGTGGTCCCTCCATTAACGAGTGGTTCAATTTACGAGATTTCAGTTAACGAATTAGCTCCCATAAGGATTTTCAGTTCTATTAACGAGTACAACTTTTATCAACGACAGCCTTACGAGAAACACGCTTTGGTGTGCGCATCAGCTGATCGACTAGTCCACCAAAACAGTAATCGGTTCTATGTTTACATTTGTTTCCAGTGGAGTAAATATCAAGAAAGTTGTGCTCTTGAATATTTTTGCATTTTTTATATTAAAATTATTGGTCATTCTGAAATTTAGTTAACATATTGATAATATATACAATACAGGGAACAGTTTTTGTGCACCCATCAGCTGATTGAATCACCCACCAACGCTTCTCAGTTTAACTTTGTTTACAGTGGAGTGAACATTGAGTTTGTTGGTCTCTTGAATATTTTTGCATTTTTACTTTAAAATTATTGGTCATTCTGAAATTTAGTTAACATATTGATAATACACAGTGCAGAAATTATTATGAAACACGAAGAAGGCATTAGAACCAATGCACTCTAAAAAGAATATGGCATGTCATCATCGACTGCCTCTACAATCACCTGTTTGCTATGTAAATAAAGCCGCCGGGAATATGACATACACACCTCAAAGTAAGTTAAAATACAGTATTCTATTGGTTTTTTATTTATTATTGTACAGTTCTATATTTTCTTTATATATAATGTTTTGTTGATTCTATTACCGGTATACAGTACTTTGTATGTACTTTTTCTGTGTGTTGGAACCAATTACCCAATATCCCATTGAAATAATAGATTCAGTTAACGAATGACTCTGTGGAACCAATTGTGCTCGTTAATCAAGGGACCACTGTATATGTTTTTTTTTTTTACATTAAACAAATAGTATGTAAACAAGTAGAAGGTATTAAGTACAGTCATTCAGTCACCCACCCACCTGATAGTCCAACTTAGGAGCATCTTTACTCTTGGACTGTTTCTTTGTTATGTACTGGATGTTTAACTGATACTCATCCTGGCTGCTCACTCCTGCGACAAGAAAAATGAGACAAACAGAGAATTACAAAAAGTATTATATTGTATACTTTCTCTTTCCTTAAGCTTTCTAGCTCCATTTGTATATCTTACATGTTATTCCATTAATTTATATCTACAGTATAATGGCTGCATATTGTTGTAGATACAGGTATTAAAAATCCAACAGCAATTATACAAAATGACAGCAGTAATGTACACCTTCATTTAAAGTGCAAATTGTTGTAAAATTTGGTATGCTAAAGCAAAAAGGAGTTAGCTATACAGGTTGTACCTCTCTAGTCTGGCAACCTCGGGACCTGACCGGTGCCGGACCATGGAAATTTCCGGACCATGGAAATTCACCCTTTTCCTGGATAGATAGTGACTTGTGCTTACGCTTGGAAGCACTAGCACCACTTTCTCTGCTTCATGGTCTCTTTGAAGACATATTGAAGGGTTAAATGTCGTACAGTAGCTTCTCAAATTTCGCGAGTTTTTAATTCGACGTTTTCTATTTGAACACACACAAAAAAACAACACATTTAAAAATTTTGACGGCAGAAACTCGAATTTCGACGGGTTTGAACGGCCCACCAACAATCAGACGACGTGCACAATCGTATAAACAGCGTCATTTCTCTTATGTACAATAGATTCATTATTGTTTATTACTGAAAGTCTTTTTGATTGAATTAATGTTTGTGTGTGCAAAATGAGCAATACAATTCATTACTAATACGTAGAATATTAAAACACGAGGAAATGAGACAGCATTGTTTTCGTTGATTACAAAACCAGTGACTGACTGGTTCTACATATAAAACTGAAGAAAATAAGACCCTGGTTGTAGCTGTAGTAAAATTAATATGGGTGTTTTAAGTAATGTTATTTAATGTTAATAAATGGAACAATAGAAGTAGCTAACGATAATGGTAAAGAAAAAAAGGGAGATCGCGTTTGTAAGTGCGCACGCGCGAAAACATATCGTCATTACTTTACATAAGAATATGAAAGTAACTCTTATTTACTGTTCATATATATTTCAATTAATGTTTCTGAATTTGTTTTTATTGAATTAATGTTTGTGTGCAAAATTAACAATACAATTTATTAGTAATACGTGGAATATTAAAACACACGAGGAGACGAGACGGCTGCCGGCATTGTTTTTGTTAAAGCTTACAAAACCAGTGACTGATTGGTTCTACATATAAAACTGAAGAAAATAAGACCCTGATTGTAGCTGTAGTAAAATTAATGTAAAAAAATTAATATGGTTGTTTGAAGTACTGTACCAGTAATGTTATTTAATGTTAATAAATGGAACAATATACTGTAAGTAGCTAACCATTAATGGTAAAAAAAAAGTGAGACTGAGCGTACGTAAGTGCGCACATGTGAAAACATATTGTCATTACTCAACATAAGAATATGAGAGCAACACTTATTTACTGCTCATATATATAGAAGGGTTAAATGTTGTACTCTGTATAGACAAGCAGAGAGAGAGAGCAGCCGAACTGCCGGATGTAAACAAACCTTAATTTCCCGCGGCTTTGTTGTTGTTGTTTTTTTACGGGGATTAGCCCACCCGGGCATAGGTCACTGACCCACATTGGGGCCTGAGGGGCAAAAATTTAATACTCCTGTAATAATAATAATAATAATAATAATAATAATAATAATAATAATAATAATAATAATTCAGAAAAAAAAAAAAAAAAAGCTGCCTATCTACCTACTGGACAAACTAAAATCGTTCCGGTCCACGGGAGTTTCCGGACCACAGAATGCCGGACTAGAGAGGTACAACCTGTACTGTAACAAATCCTGTTGTCTCTGGCATTTTACATTTCACCCTTTTTTTCACAAGGGTACCAAACTCGGAAACAGAACTAATGCAATACTATTAAATACTCCCAGGAAGCCAAACTGATATCCTTGTTTAGCATTAATTCGCTTCACAATAATTCGGTTTAGTGCTAAAAAAAAATTTACACCCATTCCCACTTAAAGTTAGATCAAAATTTGCCTTAGTGATAGCTTGACTCATTGGGAAAGGGAAAACTGGAGATGAGGTGGCCTGTGAGATACGTAGACAAAATCATCAAAAGGAAAGTAGCCAACTTGAAAGAATTCAAAGCCCCTGGAGTAAGAACATAAGAATGGAGGAAACTGCAGCAGGCCTATTGGCCCATACTGGGCAGTCCCATTTACACCCAACCCCTATTGCTCATATATCCATCCAACCTATGTTTGAAGCTATCCAGCGTATTCGAGTTAATGATGATATTCGGTAATTTGTTCCACTAAAAAACTACTCTATTTCCAAACCAATGTTTACCTATTTCATGCCTAAATCTAAATTTGTCTAATTTAAAACCATTGTTACGAGTTTGCTCCTGGTTGGAAAGTTGGAGTACCTTTGTTCAGCCCAGACTTCCATTTATACACCTCTATCAAGTCGCCCCTCACTCTACATCTCTCGAGAGAGTGCAAATTAAGATACTTTAACCTGTCTCTGTACTCAAGGTTCCTAATGCCCGGGATTAGCCTTGTCATTCTCCTCTGAATTCTTTCCAAGGATTCTATATCCATTCTGTAATACGGTGACCAGAATTGAACTGTGTAATCCAAGTGAGATCTCACAAGCACAAGATATAGTTTTAGGATGACCTCGCTAGTCTTGTAACTAACACTCCTTTGTATGAACCCAAGTACTTTATTAGCCTTGTTTCGAGCAAATACACATTGCTTACTTGGCTTAAGATTCCTACTTATCATTACTCCTAAATCTTTTTCGCAGTCGGATTTCTCAATAACACCGTTGTTCATCTGGTATCTGGTTTCCCTGTTTACATCTCCTATACTGAGTACTTTACATTTGTCCACATTGAATTTCATCTGCCATTTTTCAGACCATTCGAAAAATTTGTTTAGATCTTCCTGTAGTTTTGCGGAGTCCTCATCAGATTTAATTACACGCCCTATTTTAGTGTCATCAGCAAATTTACTTATATTGCTGTCTACGCCGATATCTATGTCGTTTATGTATATAATAAATAATAATGGTCCAAGTACTGAGCCTTGGGGAACTCCACTAGTGACGTTGCTCCAATCGGATTTAGTGCCGTTAATGCTCACTCGCTGTTTCCTGTCCTGTAACCACGCCCTAATCCATTTTAGAATATCTCCTGTAATGCCAGGAGCCTCCACTTTTCTTATTAGTCTTTCATGGGGGACTCTGTCGAAGGCTTTGCTGAAGTCGAGATATACCACATCATAAATATGCCCCTCGTCCACTGATTCGAAAACAGATGAAAAGAATGTTAATAGATTAGTTAGACATGAATGCCCGCTTGTGAAGCCATGTTGGGAATCATTGATCAACTTGTGCTTCTCCAGGTGATTTCGAATAGAGTTTGAAATGATTGCTTCCAGTAATTTGCCTACAATTGATGTTAGACTGATTGGACGGTAGTTAGAGGATAGTGACCTATCTCCCTTCTTGGAAATCAGTATTACATTAGCTATCCTCCAGGATTCTGGTACTACACCCATTTTTAAGGACATAATAAACAAATTTGCTAAGGGCATACTGAGCTCTTCCTTACATTCCTTTAATACTCTGGCAAATATCTCATCAGAACCAGGTGACTTATTAGGCTTTAGTCTGTCTATTTGCTTACTAACATCATTACTAGTCACTACTATCTCGCTTAATTTGTTTCCTTCACTATCTCTGAATAGAGTCGGTTCCTCGGGTATCATGTTTAAATTTTCGGTGGTGAAAACTGTTGAAAAATATTTATTCAAGTTATTGCTCATTTCTCCGTCGTTATCAGTTAGCTCACCGGTATCTGACTGTATTGATCCAATCTTTTCCCGTGTTTTAGTTTGATACATTTGGGGGTTTGACTTCGCCTCCCTTGCTACCTTCAGTTCATTATTCCTTTTTGCTTTTCTTATCTCGGTCTTAACCCTACCGGCCAATACCTTAAAATAATCTCGGAAGTAAACTTCACCACGATTTATTCTCCTACCTATAGCCTTCCTTTGTCTAATAATATTCTTTAAATAATTATTTATCCATTTAGGGTCATTGTTGTTTGATCTGAGTTTTCTGTATGGTATGTTCTCCCTTTGTGCAGTAAGTAACTCATTATTTAAGTTGTTGTGGAACTCGTCAACCTCAGATTTCTTTATCAGGTCATCCTCAACCGTCAGGTCTCCAGGCAAGGTGAGGTCGCCCTGTGGGCACATTGTGTGAGGTCACCTCATGTTAGGTCATGTAATTCACCCCCAAACGTGATACCCCTTCCCTCAGCTGCCTCTTCAAACTATCAAAGTTTGCCTTTCTGAAATCTGGGACTTTAGTGGAATTTTCCTTGCATCTGCTCTGAAATTCTAACTGGAATCTAATTTCTTTGTGATCGCTATGAGCAAGTTCGTTCCCTACCTCGACATTACTAATGAGGTTTTCTCTGTTTGACAGAACTAAATCAAGTATATTATTACCCCGGGTGGGTTCGGTTATATGTTGGCTTAGGAAACAGTCCTGGATTCTTTCAAGAAAATCCTCTGATTCTGAGGTACCCGTAAGGTCAATCCAATCTATTTGTGTAGTTAAAGTCGCCTACTTTACAGATTTTGCTATGTATGAAAGCCCTGCGCATTTCATCCCAAATAAGTTGCTCATTAACTCTATCAAGATTAGGTCTATATATTACTCCTGTGATTAATTTTTCCCTACCATCGATTAATTCTATCCAAATTGTTTCTGTATTCCACTCGGTTTTTATTTCCTTATTTATTTCACACTTCAGATTAGTATCCCTGACATAGATTGCTACTCCGCCTCCTTTCCTAATCTGCCTATCGGTATGGAATAATTTGTAACCTGCAATTTGGTATTCGACAGGTAACTCATGTGAGTCTAGGTTTATCCATGTTTCAGTGAATGCTATTATATATATTTTTTCGGTACATACCAAAGCCCTGATTTCATTCATTTTGTTTCTCACACTTCTATTCTTTGCGTAGTAGACATTTAAGTTAGTCGTGTTCTGAGTCCTCTCTTTGTCGCGTTTAGGTTTTAACTCCCTGCCTAATTTAGTTTTGTCATAATTCCTAGCACTATTTCCCTGTAACCTTTCACTTTGTTTACCCGCTCCCACTGCAGTCTCCTCCACCCCCATGCTTATATGTTCTCCAAGCAGTTTAAAGACTTTGACATCTTTTGAACTGCCCTCTCGAGAGAACCAGCCAGGGTTGCCACCCCATCCCTTCTGCCATAGAAGTTGTCAATGAATGGGACTGATATTGACTTGCAATATCTGTCAAGATGGCCGTTGACACCAACTGACCTTGACAACCATTCATTGCCAACTCTCCTTCTAGGCAGGACACCACATATAATAGGGATCCCTCCCTTCGACCTAATATGTTCTATAGCTGCATTGAACTAATCAAGAAGCTTCTCACTCCTACACCGGCAAATATCATTGCCTCCTGCACTGAGGCAGATAATGGGGTTGTTCCCATTACCAGACAAGATATTGTCCATCCTGTCAACTATATCATCCCCCACCCCAGCTCCTGGCAAACACACCCTCATCCTATTTTTATTTTTACCACAAAAAGCTCTGTTCAGGTACCGTACCTGGGAATCGCCAACAATTAAGGTTTTCATACCTTCCTTGACAGCCTTGTCCCTGACTATGCTAACGTCCAATTCGTCTATCAAAGGACTGAAAGAGTTGGTACACTTAGCTGTTGTTGTCATATCCTTTGTGTGAGCACAGGCTAAAGTGTTAAAAGGAGATGCAAACAAAATTTGCACCCACTAAGACTCTTATCAAGGAAATCCTTGGATCAAGATAAAGCACAGAAGGACTAGAAATTAGCCAACGTCACCCCAGTATACAAGAAGGGTAGAAAAAGTGTAGCGGAAAACTACAGGCCAATCAGCCTAATGTGACACATACGCAAGCTCTTTGAGAAAATTCTGAGGGACGCCATCATCCAATGCCTGACCGAACAGTCTTATCAACGCTCACAACACAGTTTCATGGAAAGAAAATCCTGTCAGACAAACTTACTCACGTTCCTTGATTCTGGTGTGGATTAACAAATGGCTCGAAGACAGGTAACAAGGAGTAGTAATGAATGGATAAAGTCCTCAGTAGAGCACCACAAGGCTCTATCCTTGAACTAAGACAGGTAACAAGGAGTAGTAATGAATGGATAAAGTCCTCAGTAGAGCACCACAAGGCTCTATCCTTGAACTCACCTTGTTTGTAATCTACATAAATGATTTAGACGAAAATATATCAAGCCACATTGTCAAGTTCGCTGATGATACAAAGATATTTGGGAAGGTAAAAATCAGAACGATATTACAACAATGCAGGAGGACCTGAATGAGCTGTTTAGATGGTTCCAAGACTGGCATCTGCTCTTTAACATTATATCATATCATACAACAACCCTAAGCACAACTCTTCTGTTAAAAACACTTCCCTGGATACTGTCGATAAGTAGAAATATCTTGGCATTGTGATAGATCAATCAATGAAGTCAACAAAACATGTGGGGGTAGCAGTGAGGAAAGCAAATCGAGATTTGGGAATTATAAAGCATACCTTTTGAATACAAAGATAGGAAAATGCTCCTTCAATTGTACAAATCCCAAGTACATCTATACATCCCAGTTTGGATTACTGTATACAGGTATGGAAACCCTACCTCCAGAAAGATTAACATTCCTAGAAAAGGTGCAACATAGAGTGACTAAGATGAGTCCAGAACTATGTCATCTCGATTATCCAAGTAGAATGAGAGCCTTAGGACTATCAACCCTTCAGACAAGGCATAACAAGGCAAATCTCATTGAAATATTCAAAATCCTGAAAGGGATGGAAAACGTGAACCCGGGACATTTCTTTGTGATGTCATGTACCACCAACACAAGAGGACATAACTACAAACTCGTCAAGTCATTGCAAATAACAAAATTGTGAATATCAGGGCAATTTTCTAGTACAAAGACTAAAGAAAAAGTTAAAACACAAAAAATGCATTTAAAAAATATCATAAGTGTATGCAATAAAGTACTGTACTAACAAGCACATACCAGTGGACCTGGAGTCGGATCTTGAGTAACTGTTTGGTGCCACTGTTTCTGTCACTCCCAAATTTTTTAAAATAAACTCTGCAACTCTTTCCAATGGCACCTTCCTTTCCAGAGACCGACCCGATGGATCATTGCACATTCTGATATCTGCTTTGTCAGAGTTGGTTAACATCACCATATTTGGCACACACAAGTCTTCCAGTACCGTTTCTGCTTCTTTTTGAGTCTGAAAAAATAAATTCTTCATAAAAATACACAAGACTAAGGAGAAAATATAATAAAATATATAAGAGGAGAGATTTTTAGAATAGCCAGGCAAATAGTGGGTAGAAATAAGGATATTGTTGGTGAGCAGTGCATGACAAATGACCATGGTAATGTGGTTGTTCATAATGAAGAAATCAAGTATGCCTGGAGAAATTACTACAGGAACCATGTCCATGGATTGAGAGTGAATGGGCAGAGAGAGCATTTGACAAAGTAAAAATAGGAGTCCATTAGGGGTCTGTCATAAGCCCCACAGGATTTTAGGACTTGCCTACCCTGGGGGCTGTTGTATGCTAATGAGTTTGTGCTGATAGGAAATAGTAATGAAGAGGTTGTTGAGAAATTTATGAAATAGAGGCAAAGGGCCTGAGGGTGAATGGGCTGAAAACGAAAGTATTGGTTAGTGGTGTGGGTGAGGGACCTGGGTGGAAAATGGAAAATGGCTGTGTGCTGTCTGCATGAAAGGTGTTGGCAGTAACTTATAATGTGCAATAAGTGTGGAAGATGAATACACAAGAGGAGGAGTGGAGTGGATGGTAGACTGTAAGATGTTGATGACTTTAAGTGTTCTGTATGTGCAGGTAACCATATACTCACAGTAAGGATGGAGAAAATTAACATTGAGGATATGACCCTGAACTGTGTCGATGAGTTCTGTTACTTTGGGTGACATAATCAGTGCCAAGGGTGGTGCTGAAGTCTGCTCAGTTCCAAGAGCCAGAAGTGGCTGCAAGAAGTTTAGGAAGCTGCTGCCTTTATTAACAGCAAAAGGACCTTCCTTCCAAGTGAAAGGAAGAATGTATGCAGCTAGTGTGAGAAGTGTGATGTTGTATGGCAGTGAAACATGGGCAGTTAAAGAGGATGACATAAGTAGACGTATGCAAGCTGAAATGAGAATGGTGAGGTGGATGTGCAATATGACACTGAAACACAGGAGGCCCTGTTCAGAGCTCAAGGCAGCTGGGTACTGAGAGTATTGGCAGGTTGAGATGGTTTGGGCAGGTTGAGATGGTTTGGGCATGTGGAGAGAATGCATGAGACCAATTGGTTCAAAAGGTGCATGAGCCTAAATGTGGAAGGAAGGGAGCCAGGGGTAGGCCAAGAATCACATGGGGAGAGGTTGTAAGAAATGATATTAGAGTTAAGAACCTGACAAGAGAGACTGCATGAAACCATGCACCATAGCATGGAGAGCTGCTACCAAGTAATTTCAGCTAACCCAAGTAAGTGTGGAAAATGTCCATAAAATGATAATGGGGATCAGTTAACAAAATGCTAAACATACCAAGTAAGCATGAGTGGTTAGTAAGCAAAACAATGCAGGCATCCCTCAATATATGATCAGGATGCATTCTTGAAAACCCTGTTGTTGAGTGAACAATCGTATGTTGAACACATTTTAACATGGTGCCAATGAGGATACATTCCAGAGTCAGTCAAAGTGAGTGGTTTTTGCCCTCAAATAGGCCCAAAATTCACAGCATCAAAGCACATCAACATCACAATATCACTATATTAAAGCACATCAACACCACTGTATCACTATATTAAAGCACATCAACACCACAATATTACTATATTAAAGCACATCACCACTATATCACTATACTAAAGCACATCACCACAATATCACTATATTAAAGCACATCAACACCACAATATCACTATATTAAAGCACATCAACACCACAATATCACTATATTAAAGCACATCACCACAATATCAATATATTAAAGCAATGTAGCTGTATGTAACAGGTGGTCACATGACATAAGTTTGGCAAGCATAAAAAACACTTCCAATGCCCATACCTTAATTTCTACCATAAAAGACAAAAAAAATTATAAAAGAAGATCTAGTAATGAATTATTTACTGAGAAACATCATATTCAACTGACCTCCACCAGCTTCACCCACTACAACCCCAAACATTTCTCATAGCTGTATATATATACCAGCTGTTTTCTTATTACCCATTGCCAATAATTCATATCTTCTTAACATACTGGGGTAATTGTTGTTCTTCATTGTTTCCCTTGATAAATATGTAACAGTTCAACATTCTAATTTGAAATGTTTAGTCCTGGTTAAGTTACAAAAACTGCATCTCAGATAAGAACCAGATTATGGAACACAGTTTTATACAGTGTTGGTACTTCTAATATTTACAGGTAATGCAGTGTTATATATTTTTTGTAAAACACTGTACTGTATTTATATTAGAAAAATTGTGATGAGTAATAAATTGTATTATACATTTTGAAGCTTGATATTTTAGTGCTGTAGCCATAGTGAGTGTTTGAATGAGTATAAAACAGATGCTATCAATATGTATAAACAATGCTTACATGTGTTCATTTTGTCTTATTATTTTGTGAGTTTTTACAACTATAACTTCAAGAAACCACGACCAAAATGTATAAAAATGTCCAGTAGTCATGTGGTGTAAAAGCAACAAGTGAACAACAACACTTATGGTGCACTTGGGTACGGGTAGTACCTCTCTGCGCAGAGGACAATGAATGTGTTTCTGCACATGACGGCCATTTTTGAATGACAAATGAAACAGAAGATGTACATGAAGCTGCTAGGGAGTGATCTTTTTTTATTTCCCAACAACAATTGTACAATCAAGAAAGTCTAATTATATTGAAAATGGGGTGTCAAAAAATTTGAATAATTAAACTGAAGACTCTTAAGCTGAGAGATCATATATTGAGGGATGCCTACACAGTATATGTAGTAGAAAAACAATATATACAGTACAGGATATACAAAATAAATGTGAAATGCAAAAGTGTGAAGAAAATTTTTTAACATCAATGAAGATCAGATGTATAATGGTCTACCTACGATATGAACAATTTACAGGATCCACAAATCTTCAGATGAAAAGCAAAATTATAATTACTGAACATATTTTGAAATAATAATTGATGGGAAAATAAGAACTTGTTTTAATTAGCTTTTACTTAACAAAAAAAAAAACCCCATAAATTTCTGAGTTTTACATATGTTTCTTCTCAATATTTCTTACTGATGGCACTCAACAGTGCTGTACTTACCAAACAGTGGCAGTGATCAGCTGTGATTTTTGCTGTTCTTAATTTGCTGGTTATGTCAACACGTTCTTGCAGCTGCTTTGGTCCTATCCCAAACACCATCACACTGATCATACCAGCTCCACAACCAAGACCTATATCATCAAGGAGAAAGCATTAATCAACTTGTACATTGTTTATTTTAGGCATGAGTAATTACACCATTGCACCAACAACAACCTTTCATTAACTCTAAACTCTTACAGTTTATGCTTCTGCATTCATATACAAGTGTCCTGCTGCTAAATAATGAACAACTTTACTATCTACTCACCATCCACACCCTGGGATATATCTGCACGACCAGTTGCTGACAGCTTGGTCACATCCCTAATGCAACAATCAAATTTCTCCAAGAAGAGACTCACTCCCACAGCACCAAGTAGTTCTCCACTCTTCTTTGTTGACAACAGTTTGCTCCTAATTAAGAATCACTAATATTAAATTCATCTTATGTTGATAGTAAGATAACACATAACTATAAAAGCATAATTCTTGATTATTTTTCACCTACCACTTTTATATACCATGTACAGTAAATAAAAAGATTGAAAATAAATGCAGTCCTGAGTAAATCAGAGAAACAAAATTACCACCAAAAGGAGGCAAGTCCTCCACTCTCCCACAAAAAAAAACTTTAAAGGCACATATTGTCTCAATGATGAAGACAACATGATGATTATTGAATACAGTCGGCCCTTAACATACGCGGGGGTTAGGTAACAGAGATACCCGTGAATGTTAAGAATCCGCGTATTTTTGCTGCCCCCCCCCCACCTAAAAACACCCCTGGCCCTCCATGTCCTTATTTACCGTTTATACCTGTGTATAGTTCGAGTTTTTAAGACCAAATTTTTTGGCAAAAAATTGGGGGTCGACCTCTAAACGGGTAATAGTTTCGTTAGGTTGAAAAAAATTTACCAGTAACTACCAGTAAACAATGAAAACGACGCACCACCAGCTGTGAGTGTCAGTACAGTCGCCAGGGCAGATCTCTAGCGTCATCATAGCAAGCCCAAAGTAGCCAAATGCATGGTATGGTAGCACAGGACGATGTAAAACATAAAGTATTAATTTTTTAAAGTGTATTTATAGATACATAAATTTTTGTTCATTACATTTGAAACATCAATCTTTGTTAATTAAATTTGAAACAAAAGAAAACTACGATACCGTATTTCTAAATACCGGGTATTTTCATTAAAATATTACATCACAAGTATATTTTACCTTAACTGTGACTGAATGACTATATTCTCAGAAATAAATATGGAAATGTAATATTTTTGCCGAAATGACGTACGTATTACAGTGGAAAGTGGGATAAAATCATGACGAAAACAATAACTTTCGCTTTCTTTCGTTGTTCAAAAGATTTTACCGTAATCGCTTTTCGAATGGTTTTTAGTTAAAAAACTGTTATATTACAATAATATTCTATCCTAATTCACTTGAATAAATACATGGATACCATATTTCTGAATATTTTCATTAAAATCCATCAAAATCATTTTCCTTGTCATTCTCTTCAGCACCAAACAGCTCCTCCCAGTCTTCTCCTTGAACAGGGCTAGAGGGTACGTGTTTTTCTAATCGTTTTCAGTTAAAAAACTGTTACATCACATGTATATTTTACCTAAACTGCGCCTGAATGAATATATTCTCAGAAATAAATAGTAGTTTTGCTGAAATGTGATGCATTTCAAAGTAAAATGGGATAAAATACATGACGAAAACAAAAGACTTTACCTAACCTTCCGATGTTCAAGAGATGTTACTCGTTTTTTTAATAGTTTTCGGTTAAAATACTGTTATATCACAATGATATTATATTCATACTGTGCTTGATATAATACATTCACGGAAATGTAATATTTTTGCTGAAATGATGTACGTATTACAGTGGAAAGTGGGATAAAATCATGACGAAAACAATGACTTTCGCTTTCTTTCGTTCAAAAGATGTTACCATAATCGCTTTTCGAATGGTTTTCAGTTAAAAACTGTTGCATCACAAGTGAATTAGGATAGAATATTATTGTAATACAACAGTTTTTTAACTGAAAACCATTCGAAAAGCGATTACGGTAACATCTTTTGAACGAAAGAAAGCGAAAGTCATTGCTTTCGTCACTTTCCACTGTAATACGTACGTCATTTCAGCAAAAGTATTACATTCCCATAGTCTCAGAAATAAATAATAGTTTTGCTGAAACGTAATGTGTTTCAATGCAAATTAGGATAAACTACATGTACATGAAAACAAAAGACTTTACCTAACCTTCCGATGTTCAAGATATGTTCCTCGTTTCTTTAATAGTTTTCGGTTAAAATACTGTTATATTAGTGATATTCTATTCATACTGTGCTTGATATAATACATTCACGGGAATGTAATATTTTTGCAACTACAATGCTGATGTCAACACAAGCGTGGTTACAGCGAGACTGACTGACTGAGGGAGCGCGGGGTGGCGCAGGCGGTGTGTGTGTGTGTGTGTGTGTGTGTGTGTGTGTGTGTGGTGTCGCGGGCGATTTGAATAATGTATATTCCTTTGAATGTATATTCCTCCAGCGGCAATCCACGTATTTGCAAATCCGTTAAGTTAAACCCATGGCTGGAAAACATATTGTATATATAGTACTCATGTATAAACCGATCCCATATATTGTACTGTATAGTTCGACTCCTGAATTTTTGGAAAAAAGCCTGAATTTTTCATATATAGTACCTCTTGTACAATCTGACCCCAGCTGCATAATCCTAGACATATTTTGTAACAAGACGCCAGATTCACACCAAAACAACTTCGCAGTGATCACCAGCACAAATGATGCTATGAACAGTGTTACCAACTCTGAAAATTTAATTCCCGCCTGTTACCAACTCCTACTTATAAATTTCACTAAATTCACCGTTAAAAATAGCTTTAACTGTAATGTAACATGAAAACTTAAAACTGTAGGCATAGAAGAAGTAATAACAAAAGCATATCAATAGCAATGATGATAGCATATTTTTTTTTAAAGTTAAAGCTTAAATTACACACTACGTTGCAATCTCAAGGACGTCAGCCACCTGCTCGGCGATCGCCATAACAACCATTGTTAAGGGAGAGAGAGGCAGCTAGGATGCTATTAATTTCTAAATATATTATTGTACTAATAATTTTAAATAAAAGCACCCAAATTAAAATACTTTTATTCCTGGTACATCCTGTGTTGTGATGATTCACATTATGGCAGATTCTATAAAATTGTTTTAAGAATAAGACATATTTTAACTGTGAGGATTAAGATAAAATAATACAGTATATACTAGTAAATGTGAGGAATAAATAAAAATAATACCAATAAATAATAGATAAAAATACTGTACAGTACAGCATGCCCTTACATTTCGCGGATTTTTAATTCATGGCCTTCAATTATTCGCGGATGACACCCTGGATGTACAGTACCCAAGAATGTCTGCAGGTAGTTTTAAAGCTGGTAGCATTTTTGCGGCCAGGACGGAAGCACGCAACTTTTGTGGTGTCCCGCAAAGTGCCTGTCTTGTCCCAGGCGGCTGGGCCACGTGCGCTCACTCCGCCTCAGTTCAGGTTAAACACTTGTATGTCTCACGCATGTGCTACTCTGCTGTCTTAACAACTGTGCTCCTTATGCTTGTGATGGCTTCCAAATGCCCTCAACCACCTCCATCCAGCCGTGGGGAGGCGCCCAAACAAGTGAAGAGAGAAAAGGTCATGACCCTACTGGAGAACAGACAATTGCTGGACAAACTTAGAAGTGGCCAAAGCATTTGCGAGTTAGTGTGTTGTCTGCTGTTGTAACTCTCCTCACTCCCTGCCATATTTCACTGGATTTACTGTTATTATTAGTGTTTACTGATAGAATAGTGCTTAATAGTGATAAATCATGGTATATTGTAGCTAGGTTAGGTCGTCGTTGTAACCACCAGGCTACTGGGCCAAGCTGTGAGGTGTTATGATTTTTTCAAGTCATATTTTCGGGTAGATATACATAACTCTCTTCATTTATTTTTATTCTGTTTCATGCACACACACTATCCTACATACATAATGTGAAAAAAAGTACAGTATTACATCGCAATTACCGACATCCTTCATGTTGGGTTGGCTAACAAGTTGTATAATATGATCAAATTACAGTACATAAATATACTTATTAAAGTTATTTAGAGTTTATATTTACGTTTTAGGGTCTTGGGGGTCTTGGGTTCGACCAGCGTGTTGTTTCTCCTGCAAGAACTGGTAGACTACTACTACTGTAAGCAATCGCCACCCAATTGCAGCCCTAGGCGAGGACCATCTGTTTTATATTAGACACGACCAACAAACAAGTTGTAAAAACCGGCTTATTTTGTATGTACTTTGTGTGTGTGTGTGTGTGTGTGTGTGTGTGTATGTGTGTGTCACTGTAACCACCAGGCTACTCAGCCAAGCTCTGAGGTGTTATGGTTGTTTTTCAACTCATATTTTGGGTAGATAAACATAACTTTCTTCACGTATTGTTACAGTAGGCTCTCGCCAATAACGACTTCCACAATAATGTTTTCGACAATAACGTTAAGTTACAATAGATACCTATTTTCGATAATAACGTCTAGATTCTCTTGAATAACGGAGATTTTGTGGGAAGCATCCGAGCGCATCAATGATAGCGTTTGTTTGCCGCCATGTTGATGACGTAGTTGTCCGCTCCGCCTCACTCTCACACACGCTCCATGGAATACAGCGCTGCACCCACGTGTGAGATTTTAGCCTCTATAACCAGTGGTTGCTAGGGTTGGTGATCAATAATGGCTTCCGCATTTTTGCCTGTGGGGGTTAGGGGAGGTGGTGGAGGGAGTGATTTGCCGCCTGAACGCCCGGGAACTTTTAAAGTGAATGAGAAAAAAGACCCTAAAGCTAAGAGACAAAGCCACAAGAAGCATGCCTACTCGAGTCAAGGATAAAGAACTGATTGTTGAGCTCATTGAAAGTGGTGCACGGAACATTGATATTGTGAGGAAATTGAACTGTCCTGAGTCTACAGTGTGAAATATTAAGAGGAACTTAGAGGAGACCAAGAAGAGTATTGCGCTGGCTAAGAAATATTTCGGTAGTGATGGAAATGCGAGGCGAGCTATGAATGATAAAAGTGATAGAAACAGGTTGTTTGTGATAACAAGAGCATTTTCTTTTGAAATGGTTAGCTTGTAGAATGAAAGACAGTGCAAGTCTTAGCAGCCCTCAGATATGGAACAATCATCATACCAAGCACCTCAAAAACTCCCCCAAGCTAAGTGTTATATTACTCAAACTCTTTATTTTGATGATTGAATAACAATTCTTTTTATTTCAGCGAACAAAAAGTGTTAGGAGGGTTTCTAAGGGGAAAAACTGGGTAAAATTCTTGGGGCGCCGGCACCAATAAACCCTTTTTACATGTATTTTAATGTCACACAAATAACGTTTTCGCTAATAACGGTGTTTTTCAGGCACCTATTAAACGTTATTGGCGAGAGCCTACTATACTCAGTTACATGCACACACCATCCTACATACATATTGTGAAAAAAAAAAGCAAAAGAAATAATTGTCCTAAGAGCAGACACATAGGGGAAAATACATTTCTTTGCACACGAGTTAGCTGGCTAGCTCAGTGGGGGACCGGGAGGATTTTTTTTTTACGTACGTACGAAAAATGTACCCTCCCTCTGGTCAGTAAATAATATTTGCGGATTTGGCAATTCATGGCCATTTTGAGACCCAAACCCCTGCGGATTTTAAGGGCAAGCTGTATTGCCATTTGGCTGCTGGATGACGAAATATTTGTCAATCATTTCAATACATACGAGGCAGCTCAGAACAGCCAAGATCCTGCATGCCACCAACTCCTTCTCCCCTCCCCCACTCAGCCTGCTAACTCTTGCTCACAAAGAAATGTTTATTCCCTTTACAATTTTGACCTTATGATATTTATTTCATTATTTTTTCTCATGCAATATGTAAGATTGTGTGTGCATATAACTGAGAAAAAACAATACATACCTCTGTACTGTTGGGCTTTGATACAAATGATCTCTTTGTTTTATGATGTCAGAAAGTCAAAAGATTATTGAAGGTTTTCTCAAGAGCCTAACCTGTGCTGAAGAATCAGTTGTTCATATGAACCCCCTTGAGCTAGAAGGTCTTGAGTGACCTTCATTTTCCTGTGCACCTCCATCAAAAACTGGCACATAAATCCACAATACAGGTGAGGGTCTGCTACCATCAAGGGGCGCAATTTGATATCAAACTAAAAAAGAAAAAATGCCAAACATTTGTATATAAATATATTATGGGTTTCTGATAGTACATACAAGATTCCTAAAATGATAAGTGATTGATGTGCATTACCAGTGGGTTGGGAGGTGTACAAAAACACCCCCACCTTTCTGCCTAAATTTGAAATAAATTACAAAAGATACATGTATATAAAAAGTTCACAACACAAAAAACATGTATGATGTAAATTTACATTAGTGAGCAAGATATAGTGTATCAGATATACATTTACTGAGCAATAACTAATAACTCTAACATTTCTATTTGAGTCAAGTGAAAAATGAGTCCTAAGGCCTGATAGCCCTTTAGAATCAGCGTACACTCTTGCATTTACGGTACCTGTATGCATTTCCACTGAATTTTTCCAATGCACACTGATCTGAACTACATAGTGGGTCCTGGAAGTGGAGTTCTTTAATGATTTAGTTTTATTATGCTTCTCATACTGTGCAATGTGTACTACAAGTAATTCTTTGTCATCATATACAAAATCAAGGGAAATATCATATTATGGTTCACTGTTTTTAACATACCCTGGGAATATCCCTGTGATTATATGCTGTAGAAAGTTTGGTGAATCAAATGTTAAAAAACTTGCTGTGTACAGTTCTTTTAATCCTTTGAATGTTATTCCCCATCCATTTCATCCAATTTTTCATATACAGTCAACCTTCACTTTACGCGGTTAATTCAACCAACAGGGTACCGCGGAAAGTGAGAAACGCGTAAAGTGAACAACATAACATATGGGATTAATTGAAATAGAGACCGGCTGACCCCCAAACTCCACTTTTTCCGACACAATACCTATGTTCTAGTAAAAATAACATCTTAATTTTATGATGGTACATGCACACAATTAATACTTAAGAGAAATAGAGAAATACAGTCGCCAAGTTAATGTCCATTCAAATAATGGACTCAACTCCCTCCCCCTCTTCTCACACTACACTCACTGGCTCTTCCCTCTCTGAGAAATTTTTGGGGGAAAACCACTAGATTTTAAGGTATAGTAATAAATAATACCTCAAACTAAAGTTAGGATAATATAATTGGCATTGCTGGATTCCTTGTAAGACCAGGAATATTTTGAATATAAATGTCATATATTTTGCACAAAAGATAACATATTTACTCAGAGTAAACATTATATCTAAAATTTGTATGTCTAATGCAAAATCTATGATGTTTATATTCAAAATGATCATCAAATTGTAAGAATTCCAGCAATGTAAATTATATCCTGGCCGGATAATTTGTATGAATTTTATGAGCTAAATAAAAAAATTATTCTTCACCCGCGTAGAATGTGAGCATCCCGGGTTCTGGCAGGGTACCGCTTAAACGTGGAAACGCGGAATGTGGGGACTACGTAAAGTGAGGGTTGACTGTAATCATTAGAGATGAAAATCACATAACAACACTGCTAACAACCAAACATGAAAGAATATGATGGGTTTACCTTGATACCCATTAAAAGTGATGTGTCCTTAATCTCCATGAGGTCACTCAGAACTTGTTTAACAGTCGCAACAAGATTCCTACGGCGTGAGCTTAACCCTTTACTTTGGAGACTCATAACAACATCCTCAAGTGGTCCTTCCATATAGAGGAATCCCTTGAGTGACTCTGCTGAAGATTTGCTTGCTCCAAGCCCACAGAAATAATCCACAAAGGTTTCAACATTCATTCTCTTGGTATTCAATTCCTACAAAATAAAAATTAATTTATGTCTCAGATAATTTAAAGTCATCAACAGTAGATTGGAATTACTAAAGCAATTTGAAACTCTGCTCTGGTGTATACTGGTAATATTAGTAGAGTACTATACTGAAGATATTTGTTGGATATGCATTGAAGGAATAATACAGAAATGTCCAATCAGTGCTTTATGGAATTAGACTACTTTTTAATGGCAATGAGGTAAATAAATTATACACGAATATACCAGAGTAAACAAACTGTTAAAGAAACAAGGTACAGTCCCCTTCACTAGTGAGTTTACAGGTGCTAATCATATAAATATTCCACAATTCACGATCTTTGAGATATTTGTTTTGATATTGTTTTTATTTGATTCCATAGCATGCTTACTATTGCGAGTTTCATTTGGTCGAATGTTAATGAACACAGCGCTGTCACACTGCACAAAACCTTATGAGCCCCTGTAAATGCACTAGTGAAGGGGACTGTACACGGTAGAAGAAAAAAATAACATCCAATTATCCACCATATTAAAATGGGTGATATTATCTATGGTTCATTAGACTAATTGTCACAAAATAATAGATTTTCCATTACAGTACTATGTATATATATGTATATCATACTGTATATGTTTGACAAAAATATTTTCAATAGGAATGCAAAATGGGAAAATTGGGTTTGGGTAATAAAATTTCACATTGCAGAAAACTTTTCAAGTATCGGTACATATCCATTTTATAATTCAGGTTACTACTGTAAAATTGTCATTGGTTTCAGTTATATAACTCTCCAAAAGAAAAGGCCAAAAAATGGTATTCATTCAAAAAAGAAAAAAAAATCTAAATTAATCTATATTAGACCTCAGGAGTTAATAAAAAGAACAACATAAAAATGACCTTAAGGGGAAATACTGTATTGTACAGTGCAGTATATTCACTTGAAAAGAATAATCAAAATTGGCCACAAATTCTTAAACAAAATATAAGTGAAATCTTAAAAGGACAAACTTCAAATGATTTTTCCCAGGAATTCACCACATTAGATAATGTACACTACCCAAAGCCAATTTTTTTAAAAACTTGATTAGTGTCTCATATGCAGTGAAAACAGTCACTTTTTTGTTAAAGAAAACTATGAAGTCATCATATGATATAATCTATAATCTGAGGGGGAAATCTTAAGATTTGAGGGAATACAAATGCCTGAAAGAAAGTATTATAAACACAAGAAGAAAAAAGTAAATCTTACAAAAGAGGCTAAGGTGATCATCTTGTCAGATATCAAATTGGTTTTCAATCACAATAGTTTTTACAGATTCACAGATTTTCAGTATTATTTGGTTTGAAATTTCTACATAGTTTACCACTCAAGCCTGGAAAAGCCATAATGGTCTTACCTTAAGTAATGTGATGACTTTTGGGTGCAGTTCTTCCTCAATTCCACAGTAACTCAGAATAGCACTAACTAAGTCCATGTGGCCAACACGGATATACACATTTTCACTCCCCCTTTGAATAATTTGTTGTATTATATCTTGTGCAACAAGCATGACTCTCGCTGAGGACTCTGGCAATTCTCTTTTTGAGGAGACAATGTCAAAAGCACATTCATAAGACTCCTTTGGTTGGATTCCAGATACTTTAGAAGCTCTCTGAACACGGTCAATACAATATCTTCTCATATACTTTATCTCACTCCGGGCAACAAATCGGGCAAAAGGGTATCTCAATTCAAATTGAGCCGACACAAGTTCCCCCTTACGTGCCATAAGTGACACCAAATTGTCTTTGTCATGATAGAAGGATCCTTTGGGTACATAAAAAGATGTTGGTAACCATATTCCCCCATGAGCTTTGAATATTGCTACAAAGAGTGAATGCAAGTAGTCACGGTTCCAGTAATGCCAATAGTCTGAAGAAATTTCCTGATTCACTTCAAAAGTTGCTTCCAATTCTAGCCTGGCTGAGGGCTTGAATACCAAGTTAAGGATATCTTGGTATTCAGATGACCTGACATTTTGCAACCGTGTTTCTAATGTTGCCACAAACTTCTGCTCTTCAGCTGTAGGGGGTGGCAAAAGTGGTGATTTTAAGATTTCATTTGTGCTCGGTCTTAACTGAGGATCCTGTTGAAGTAGCCAGGTTATTAACTCAATACATTGGGTATTTTTTCTCTCAGGTAAGTCATCAGGAAACCTGACTTGGGGTTTCCTTAGATCAGAGAGAATTTTTACTCTCTCCATGCCAGTAGTGAGTGGGGGGTATATCATTTCAAAGAAGATAACTCCAAGGCTATATATATCTACTTTATTTGTATAACTCACTTTCCCTGTGGCTTTAGTAACCTCTGGGGCAATATAAAATGTAGTACCAACCTGACCCGTCAAGGCAGTACTTTCCTCTAAATCAACCTTGGGGATCATCCCACCTGTTGTCTTTGCTTTGATAGCTGCTGTTGCAAGACCAAAATCACCAATCTTAACGTGATCAGCTGAGTCAATAAATATATTTCCTGGTTTAAGGTCACGATGAATAAGACCCTGTGAGTGAATGTAATGCAGACCATTAACCATCTCTTGAAATAATCGCCACACGCGGTCATCATCTAGATGTAAGCCGCTACTGATTGCTTGCCTGTAAGGATAAGACAGAAGGACTGATATTGATCAATACCTCTTACATAACACATGTAATATCTACAATATAAAGTGAAATAAACCTAGGTATCCAGTGAATTATAATTTAATTTTGAAAGTCTTCTTGGGAAGATGTTGCCAAACACCAACCCTTGCAGCAAAAACAAATCACCATGACCATTCAAGAATTAGGCAATGCAACTTGGTAGATATGTTTTTTTTTTTGGGGGGGGGGTGGTGTCATTTATGGGTCTCAAAAAAAAACAAAAACATGAAAGATGAGATAGAAAAGTAATCTGGAAGGTTATTAAAAGTGTTTGAGATAAATGGAAAATTTCTGACTACTATTCAAAGTTTTTAGAAAGTGAATCATGTGTCAGGTTGGATTATACAGTACAGTACTGTACTGTAAATACAGTATATTAAGAAAATGGAAATTGGTTCCTGTAAATGTAAGTCTACATCAGGGATGCATAATGTCATCATGAGTGTTAAGTATTCTCATGGGTGAATGGATGGGGTAGTAAGATGTGAAAGTACTAGAGAGAGGAGCATCTTTGGTAAATAGGAATACAGTACAGGGTGCAATGGGAGGTGAATGGGCTGCTGTTTGAAAATTATGCCATCTAAGTGGGCAATCAGGTGTGAAGTTACAAACATTTGTAAAAGTGCTTATAGGAGTCTGAACGAAAGTAAGATTATGAAAACAATTTAAGAAGAGAAAGATAGAATTAAACGTTAGATGAAATGAAAACAGATGATGGAATGAGATGTTTTAAATATCTAGAAAAGAATATGCTCTGTGAATGTAATAATGGATGACAAATTCAATAATAGATTAACAAAGAGAAATAAAACAATTAGTTATTAAAAAAAAATGAAAAGAGAAAGAGAGAATTATGTCACAGAATCAAAGTTAAGGTTGTACAGGTTGTACCTCTTTAGTCCGGCAACCTCGGGACCTGACCGGTGCTGGACCATGGAAATTTCCGGATCAAAGGAAATTCACCCTTTTCCTGGATAGATAGTGACTTGTGCATACACTTGGAAGCTTTTCTTGCTTCCTTTGCGTCTGTGAAATTAATGTTGTACAGTAGGTTCTATTCGCTGAGTTTTAATTCGACGTTTTTTATTGAAAAAAACACTACTTTTGGTGGCTTCGAATTTTGTGGTTTGGCGTCAACAGCAGAGGCGTGCTGGTAAACAGCGTCATTTCTCTATGTACAAAAGATTCATTATTGTTTATTACTGAATGTCTTTTTGATTAAATTCATGTTTGTGTGTGCAAAATGAACAATACAATTCATTAATAACACGCAGAATATTAAAACATGAAGAGACAAGACGGCATTGTTTTCATTGTTTACAAAACCAGTGACTGACTGGTTCTACATATAAAACTGAAGAAAATAAGACCCTGGTTGTAGCTGTAGTAAAATTTATAAGGCTGTTTTAAGTAATGTCATTTAATGTTAATAAATGGAACAATGGAAGTAGTTAACCATTAATGGTAAAGAAAAATAGTGAGATCGCATATATAAGTGCACACATATCGTCATTACTCTACATAAGAATATGAAAGCAACACTTATTTACTGTTCATATATATTTTAATTAATGTTTCTGAATTTAAAACAAAAATTCTACCCACCAGTGGTGGTAAAGTTGAAAACATAAAGACAGCCAATGTTGTTGTGTGTGTTTTTACTCGGATGACAAAGTTGCCAAGTCATCAGGTTTAACTCTAGCTAAAGCTGTAGAACATAAGAGCTTTTCTGTGTTGTTTTTAGTTTTTATTTAACTTTATCTGTGTTATTTTCGTTGGTTTATTAGGATGTTGCTTTATTACAGGTAGTAATTCGCCAAAAAAATAGGGTAAATAAGGCCAACTTTAGCCAAACATCGAAAGTACCAGACTCAAATTAATTTTCTCCATGGGGAAACTAAAATCGTTCCGGACCACGGGAGTTTCCGCACCACAGAATGCCGGACTAGAGAGGTACAACCTGTATAGTGGAATTATTGATTTGAAATAGAAAGAAGAATGGGATGTTGATGAATGAGGGAGAAAGAAGCAACTCAGAAGAAACAGAAATGACAACTTTGACACCAGTATGGGAGGAGATTAGGATGCAGAGAATTACAAATGCAGAGATTATATGAAGATGTGGAATTGAAAAAAATGTCAGGAAGAGAAGTGACCAAGAGTTTGCTAAAGTGAGATAACCATTCTGTACAGGTACAGTATTAAGAAAAAACCCAGTGAAGTAACGGAGAAGAAAGTACAATATAATTTAGAGGAGGGTGATAAGAAGGGGAAGGGAAGGCCAAGGAGATAAAAAGATAGGATAAAGGAAGTACTAGAAGTGAGAGGGATGGACATCTAGGGAGCAGGAAGTAAGTGTGAAAGGTGAGCAGGGGGTCAAGTGATTTATGGGACTGTTACAGCATTTAAAGTGAATGGAGTCTGTTTCTGTTCTTGATCCCAGCCACTTCCACAGTATAACAAGAAAAACCTTACAAAAATTACAATGAAAAGTGTAAAGCCTAACTGAATCTTACATAGTGCAATGAATATGTACTCAATCTGTTTCAAATACTTCAACCAGGGTACAATTTCACACACCTACCTAAAACTAATCCAAAAAGACTTAGTACTACTACCTAGGGCAGGGGTGGGCAAAGTGCGGCCCGCGGGCCACATTTGGCCCGCCAAATTATTTCTGTGGCCCGCCACTGCATTTGGCAATCAGAAAAAAAATTCTTATTAATTACAGAAAGGACAATTTTGGAAGTTGGGTGGACATAGCAGCAATACTGGCTCGTCGCTGTTAACCTGTGGCCCGCGAAGTGTGCCACCATTCATGAAGTGGCCCTCCATCAAAAATAATTGCCCAACCCTGACCTAGGGCATGAACAGGGTTATCAAAAACAAGAAATTATGAGAAAATATAAAAAATTTACCTATAGTTTCTATAATCTATGCAGTATCTTTTGATATATAATGGGGTCACAGCCTCCTATGGGAAAAAAAGTTAAAAATCTCAACAACAAGCTTGTGATCAAAACATTGTCATATTCCAAAGGTCAAATTACTTTGACTGATAGGGACTGTTAATCAATCTTCATTAATTACAGAACATAACATTCCAGATCAAGAAATAAAAAGAAACATTATTGTACCTTAAAGTGTTCTTCTCACACAACTGCATCTGGATAAAGAGGAACTGTAACTTCTTCTGTTTGGTAGACGAAGCCCCTGACTGTCCACGATCAATGTGGTCAATAAGACTGTCTGTTTGGTCTTGTGAATTCTGTGAGTGATAAAACTCAATGTTGTCCGAGTCTTCATCCTCTTCCTTCATCAATGGCCTGAAATATGATGCAAGAATTACTATTAGTTGAAAGCAGGTGTTCATTATTTTATCTCTAAAAGGGTGTAACTAATTTTCACTGGTGCTCTTCTCTCTCTTACTATCATGGCTAAAATACTCACATGTTGGAAAGAATTGTTAAGTCACAGTCTTAAACATAATTGTCACCAATTCAATAAACATTAGTGAATACCCTCCTAAAGGTCCCCCAAAAGTTAACTCATAAAATATCATATGCATGTCAAGATCAAAAATCATGAAACTTCCAAAGTGGAAAAAGTTCCTAGACTTCTTAATACACACAGCACAAATTAGGTAAACAAACCAAAAATAATAAGAAACGTTTCATGATGGGGTGCAACTGTATTTGTATTATGGTCTTACCTTAAGCTGCCCATGAGCCAGTCATCATCATCTTCATCACTCTCTTCATCAAAGTCTGCAGGTGTGAAGTCAGTACAATTTACATCCTCGTTAAAAACAATACTCCATTGAGAGTCCCCTCGTTCATCTGAAACATAGTAAGTTGGGTTCTAATTCAAAAGAAATGTTTTAGAAAAATATAAGATCATTGCCATAGGTTTCCTGCTTATGCTGTTTTTCTGCCAACTATATAAACCCTCAATAACTGCACCTGACATAGATCACTAATCCTGTAACAATGATGACAAGCGGCCCATTTACGTTTTTTATGACAAGCCAGGAATGTGTACAAGGTGGTAAGGAGCGAGGTCATCTTGGCACTAGTTGACACTTGACCTGATGTGATTCAATCTAATATGACGTGAGGTGAGTCTTCTGAGAAAAAGGTGGGTCAACTGAACACTCAGAACCTGCCACTGTGTATACCCGATACTGTATATATGAGGTACTAGCTTGTAAACCTGTATGACAATTTCACTGAATAAATAATATTATTATTAACTGGGTTTTGTTTTTAAAGTAATATCAATATTTTGGAAAATTCCAGATTTTGGGTTAATTTGACTGAACCAGAGCCCGATGGTATAAAATTATCAAAAGTTCAGTGTACATGTACAGTACTTCAGACTCATATAAATTCTCAAGTAGAGTTATTGAAGCTCTGAACAAAACTTTAAATCCCTTAGAAAGCCTCAAAATATTAAGAGTTAGACATACATACATACATACTCCATTATATCCTAATTCTAGATATTTAACTAACCTGTCAGTCCATGCTGTCTTTTGCTTAACTCCTTGAAACTTCCACTAACACTGGGGCTAACTTCTGAGCTAACAGTGATTTCTATGCCAAGGGATGCTGTTGAGCTGCTGGTGTCCTCATCCTCCTCTACACTTGTGCTATCTTCTGCATCCTGCAAGCAAACTTCAAACATTCAACATCAAATAATATGAGACATTTAATACTGCAGAAATACCAAAACATTAATGTATACGTATAAGGAATGCAAGCAAACTATATGACCATAATGTTAGTAAAACCTCGATTAACCGACCACATATGGGGGGAAGGGGCCGACGGGTAATCTGAAAGGTCGGTTACCGAGGTAATAGTACATAAAGTCTACGGAAATAAAACATATATTTTCAAGGTACGTTTCCCTAACCTACCTCAGTTAAATCCCTCTATTCATTTTTTATCATTTGCCATTCATATTTTAATAGAATTTGCTTTAAAACATTAACCACTTTAGTAAATAAATATGAACCAGCACAGAAACCGTGAATAAAAAATGGAAAAGTCAAAGAACATGTCATCACAAGAATTGTGACCAAGTGTTGCTGATGTGACTTTCTACCTCATTTACACACAATTGCAGGGTCTCAATTGCTTCTCTTACTATTGACAACACAACATAAATATATTGTTTCTCACTCTTGATTTTTTTTTTCATTTTTGCATTTATTTGTGGTTCTTCATTACAGTACTATTATTATTATCATTATCATTATTAATATTATTACATTATTGCCCCCCAGGCCCTGATGTGGGTCAGTGACCTGTGCCCAGTTGCTCTAATCCCTGTAAAAAAAAATTAAATAAAATAATTTTTTTTTTAGGACTTCGGGATTGACGGTTAATCCGAAAGTCGGTTAATCGAGGGTCAGTTAATCGAGGTTTTACTGTATTTTCGTTATTATAAAAAAGTTATCATTGTATATATGTGGTATGTGGAACTCCAGAGACAACTATTTGGTGAGTTAAGAGTATTTTTTAATATGGATACATGTATGTATTTTTGTAAGTCCCGAGGAGGAAAAAAAAAATTTATGGATTCGAAATGGGGTTTGCTACCAGCGTATGCAGCCCAGCCCAGGGAAAAGACAACACTGTTTGTTTACGTTACGAAAAGGCACGTTAGCGGGGCCCAGCAACAGGTGTGTACCAAGTATTTTTAGCTCTACAGTGGTCCCTCGGTTAACGAAATTTCGGTTAACGAACTGCCTCCCATAAGATTCTTAAATTCGGTTAACGAACAAAAATTCGGTTAACGAATTTCTTACGAACCGACCTCAACATGTTTTCGCTTGCACTGGCCGGTCAACCAGCTTTAGTATTAGTCCACCAATACATTAATCGGTTCTAGGGCTTAAATTCCTTACTATATTAGTAAATATCAAGAAGTTTATACTATTCAATAATTTTAAAAGTTAACCGAGGGACCACTGTATTCATAATTTTTACTACGTACTATCGTAAACAAACGGCCTTGAATTGCCAGCTGTCTCCAGCATTGTTCGAAGAATCTTGAACGAAACTGTACATTAATTTTTTACGAACTGTAATGTACTGTACATCTTCAACTGATTACATACTTATGTTTGAGAACACATCATAATCCCTCAACCGATGGTCCTTCTGATAATTTGGACTGACAATAATGAGAATACATATACAGCTCCTCCCCGACTTACGACGGGGTTTGGGACTCAAATCCAGGTCGTAAGTCGAAATGGTCGTAAGTCGGAAATGCTTAAATAATACATAGAAAATCTAAAATGGGTGTCTCTTTTTCTTCTCAGCACCACAAAACACTCACTTTTAAGCTTGCCAGCCATTTTAAAGTGAATTACAAACGAAAATTTTGTCTGTGTACCGACTCTAGGACTCCAAAATACGTAATTTGACCAAATTTTGGTATGACTGAGGCAGGTCGTAAGTGCGGGTGGTCGTAAGTCGAGTAGGTCGTAAATCTGGGAGGAGCTGTACAGTATGTACAAATACTTCCATACATACACACATATAGCAATTATACAAGGTAATATTGGCACCTGTATGCAGACTCTTACTAAGAAACTTATTCACATTAATGCCTTACCTGTGTAATCTCATCAATCCAAGAAGTGTAATAACGTACAACATTGTCATGATGGAGAGAAGAAAGAAGCTTCACTTCCCGAGTTATCTTTCTTCTCACAACTTCACTCTGCTGATCAAGTCTTATCCTCTTCAAGGCATAAGTTCGATCATCAACTTTGTTTTGAACCTGTTAGTTAAAGATCAATGTGAATAAAAGTGCATATGAAAGTTAAAAGTGTGCTACAGACAAACAATGTACAGTACAACCTCTTATTGTGTACTTAACTACTGTACCTAGGCTTCATTTGTATTTGTTGCATAAAATTATCATTGTGAATAGTATACTGTACAGTACTGTAATTACTTAATAAGACAGAATGGATTCAGTTTGTGAAGTACAGTACTGCTTCTTACCTGCGAAGAGATGACTGATTTGTATCTCACTTTTAAATGCCATTACAAATCAATGACTACAGGCAGTCCCTGATTTATGAAGATCCAGTTTACAAAAATCAAAATTTCTGATAATTAATTTTTGCACCTTGTTTTAATTTGTGTATGAAAAGTCTTGCATTACAAAAAAATTTATTTATTTTTTCTTAATTTTTCACAGAATCGGATGATGAGGTACTGACACAGGCCTTTTAGGGCTTCCTGTCAATGGAAAGAATAAAAAGTTAAATGGATAAGTTTAACATTTCCTTGTCAGATAAAACATCATCAAAAAACAATTCCAGTGAATGCAAAACATCTTAAAATGTATTTAACAGGCTGTGCAGATTAGCAGTGCCTGTCAGCCCGGCTATGCCCAGACTGGGGACCAAGTAAGTGATTTTTCATGTCCGTGTGCCTGGCACTTGCCCAATGGACAAGCTAATATTTTGAAAGGAATATTCCTAAACAGAAAATTATCAGATGTTTAACATGTTTAACCAGGGAGGTCTTTCAATGGGCCACTTGTCATCAGAGTACCAGGATCAGTGAACTAGGTCAGGTGCAGGTAATTTATCTCTACATTAAACCACCAACCACCTCTGGTCAGTCGGTGTCAAGTTGTCAACATGTCAAGGGAACAACCAAACTAAGAAGCCATAGAAGTGAGGTGACAGGAGTTATGACCTCACATGACAAGTGTTACTGCCACTAACACCAGATTGTAGGGGATGGGAGAGTGGTAGTTAGGGTAGGACAGGTGATCAAAGGTGCTTTCTCTGCCTTCCCATACACCCTGAAGGTGAGAAGTGAGGTGACAGGGTTATGACATCATATATCAAGGGTTACAGCCACCGACACCATTTAGACGGACACAAGTGATCTGTGAGTTAATAGTTGCAATTAAATTGAATGTCTTAAGTGTTTATTCAACTTCTACCATAAATAAATCCAGACAAGCAAATTTCCTCCTAAAATTTGTCAAGTAAAAAAAAAAATGTCCGAACAAATACATTTTTAAGTCACTTGCCCAAGTCAAGTAAATGTTCAACATAATCTGCACAGCCTGGTCTTTATATATAGTACACTAGACTTATTGTAAGTGCATCACTATGAAATTAAAACTATGTCTTGGTTGGACCTTGCAGCCTTGCACTGCATTACAACTAGTGGCACAGTTTCTCAGTAACTTCCATGTCCTTCAGTACATGTTTTTCACTTATGACTGTATGTTTATTATTGGCTTATAATCATTGTTGTGCACCAAAACTTTTGTAGCATTTTTTAAGTTTTGGGGAAGCCTTATTAGCAAAAACATACTGTATCAATAGGAATCTATGGGAAAATGTGATCTGATTTATAAAATGGTTTTCACGAACAGAATCCTTTCATAAATTAGGGAATGCCCGTTACTGTACATCGAATTTCACCTAAAAATTTACCTTAAAAACATGGCCAAATCCTCCTTTTCCTAACCATTCAAGGACAACATATTCTTGGTTTAATCTTGAATGTCCTTTAAGGCTAGCAGGCAGATGGAGTGAGACCTTAGAGGATAATTCAATCCCAGTTCCAGAGCATCCTTCCTCATCCTCTGCTTGTGATTCACTGTTGCCAGGAGAAGCCTTTAAAGAATTTTTTTTTTTAGAGGACTCATTCTTCTCAAGCATGTAAGATGTAAATGTGGAGTGTTATTCAGTAATAATAATAGTTCAGAGCACACACAGCTGGTTCAGATTTAGGAATAAAGGAGAACAGATAGTACAGATCTATGTAAAAAGCACAGGTACAGTAATTTCCAAGTGTTTAAAGTGCCCCAAAGGCCTTTAATTGGAAATATCATTCGGTGCAAAATAATTAAGGTGACAATTTTATTGGTCACCAAACGCAGAGTTTTTTCAGCCAATCAAATCAACAGATACAAGAACACTAACTGGATGAGAAATTGTAAAATAAGACACCTCTGGTACCTGGAATAAATAATAAATTCATGTTAATAAATAGTCAATTCAAGGAAGAGGACAAGAAATTTCTTTACTAAAACTGATGGAGAAAAACTGCATATAATAACTATATATCCTTTTTCCTCAATTCCTACATGGTTCCCGGGTTACAGACACCTCAAAAGGGGACAATAACAAACAGGAACACTACACACATACAGTACACTTCATTATACTGTAGCCTCAGCTTGTACATTTACTACAGTACTGTATATGACAAAGAACCTTATGCTTAATATTGATTATAAAACCCTTATATATCAGTTCAATGTGCATAAGGTGGCAAGTCATTAGGCTCTTTCACACTAATACTATCTTGACCTAACTAATAGAACAAATACCTCAATTCATGTTTTAAGGATTAAACAAGAATCAAATTTTTAAATGATCCTAACTTCTGAATGCTTAGAATCTATGGAAAACTATAAAGATATTTTGTGATTTTTTATTTCATAAACATTCCCAATCTCACAAAATAACCCAGGACTCCTGTACTTGCTGTTCTCTATTTCTCAGTCAAATGAATTATTTTCCCTGATGTGATAAAATTAGTTTTTTGGAGGTCTAGTTGACCTCTCTTTTGGAAGAATAAACTAGCATTGATAGATCCTTCATTGGAGGCAGCAGAACAAGTGGGAATCCCAGCAGTGAGAAATGCAAACCGAGATTTGAGAAAATGCTCCTTTAACTGTACAACTCTCACATATGTCCCAGTTTGGTTACTGTATACAGGCATGGAATCCTTAACTCTAGAAGGACCTAACATCCCTAGAAAAGGTGCAACATAGAGCATTTAATACTGTATGATTCTAGAACCATGTCATCTCTATTATCCCAGTAGAATTAGGGCCCTATGACTTACAACCCTTCAAACAAGGCACAATAGGGCAGATTTCATTTAAACATTCAAAATCCTGTTAGGGATGGAAAACATGAACCCAGGCTATTTCTTTGTGATATTACACACCACCAACATTAGGAGACATAACTACAAGCTTGCCAAGTTATCATGTAGAATGAACATAAGGAAACACCTTTTCACACAAGAGGGTGGTAGACCTATGGAATGGTCTCCATGAAAATCTCTCTAATCCGGGTATCCGAACGAATTTCTGAGGATTGCATCATGTGTATCCCCGGAAAATTACAAATCTCTCTGTTCCGGGCATGTGAACTAATTTTCCTGGAGTTCTGAGAGATCGCATCACGTTTCCAATACGAAGACGTGTACCAGGCACAAGGATGGGCAGACTCAGAATGCTCATGAACTACGATTTGCTACCACTATCATGTGACTGCATGGGATGCCTATGATTGGCTTATGTACTATTTCACAGCCTATCTCCTCAAATTCTTACAACATGACACTATTAGTTCATTGTCTGCTGCCATTGTATAATTTGTTCACTCACTGCTGTTTTCTCATACAATTTATGTTGTGCTATACTGTACTATACAATACTATGCCAGCATATAATCAGTCAAGAATACTGTTAAAGCAGTGTTAAGATAAAAAAAAGGTTACAGTTACGTATATTGTACTGTACATTCAGTAAGTGTTAAAATACTATATGCACAGTACTATACATAACAGAGTGGACACTGTATGCTTACTGTAGACTTTGTGTATAGAGGGTGCATGTACAGTATACTGTACAGTGCATGTACAATCCCTCCTTCATGGAAGGAGAGGAGAATGACAGCAACACCTGCTACAGGAGATGGTACAGTACAAAGGCAGGCCATCCTGTATCATCATATCACCATTTGGCCTGCCTGTATTACAAGCTCAAGACAACAGCATCTCCGGGTAAATACAGGGCTGCCTCACTTATCGCAAAGGTTATGGGCATGAAACTCGTTGCGAATATCGAAATTGCGAATAGCGGAGCAATTTCTCCCATAAGAAATAATGTAAATAGGGGGGATACGGGCATCGTGGTGGTCACTGCCATCAGATTTTAACACTTGTTTTACTCAATACTTTAGAACATAAAATAAATAAAGAAACAAGGGCATAACATCAAATAAACATCAATAACAAACACTTTGAGTTTATTAGGCATATATGCTTACAAGTACACTGTACAATATACAGGGGTACTTTACATGTTTGAGTGTGTGAGTGTTTGAATGTGTATGTGTGTAGGTGTGTGAGGTTAAGTTTTAAACGTAGACATCACGGAACCTCGCCACCTTCGTAGCAGTCAGTGGTGTTGCAGACCAGGCCATCTCCTTGATCTTGTCGGCGCTTTTAAATATAGAATGCCCCGTAGAGGGAGCCAAGCCGTGCACGCGCCCAATCACCGACGTTCCTTCTCCGTGTTCATTTATTTTTACGATATCCAAATTCACGTCCAACGTAACTGCCACACCTGATCTCTTAGCAACATTGCTGGAAGTTTTAGTAGCTGGTCGCTTAGGCATTGCGAGATCACACAAAACACACACCAGTACGTGTGAGACTGAGGTGAGCGGGAGCGTATGGCGGAGGAATACGTACACACACTGTCCTACGCTACGGTTGAGGCGCGCGGTTCAAAATTTTTGCTCGTAAGAATTTGCGAATAGTGGAAATGGGTAACAATAAATTGATTGCGGATAAACAGGGTTACGAATACCAAGGCTATGAATAACGGGGTTTGCCTGTACAGTATAGTGTATACAGTACCATAGTATATTTTGTTTATTTACAATATATTGGATGTGTACAGTGGTGTTTGCATTAATAAATACAGCTCTGTGTCTGTCAAGTGAGATGTGTAGTTTAGACTCATGGAAAACTTTCCCCAGTACCCAGAAAAATTCAAGAGATAAAAAAAATTTGTCTCCATACCTGTCCTGGAACCACTCTGTACCAATTATTCCAGCAGGCTGAGATGGTTAGGGCATGTGGAGAGAATGGATGAGACCAATTTGATCAAAAGGTGCATCAGCCTAAATGTGGAAGAGAGGGTAGCCAAGGGTAGGCCAAGAATGACATGGGGAGAGGTTGTTAGAAATGAATTTAGAGTGAGGAACCTAACAAGAGACACTGTAAGAAACCGTGCAGAATGGAGAGCTGCTATCAAGTAACCGCCACTAACCCACACAAGCGTAGATTTTGGCTGTAAAACGATGATGATGGTAATGTTTGAAATCCCATACTGGCTATTAAGAAGATGAGAAATATAGCAGTACTGTATGCTGTATCGTATTACTAAATTCTTTACTTTTCTCACGGCACAGATTCCACAAGGACGTGAAGTCAATTAATCTTCTTTATAAACATGTGAAAAACTTACTTCATCAATTTGTTCTTTATCAGGAGATTTCTCACTTCCTCCCGGTGAGCTGTGCAAGAATGAGTGAGTCAGAAGGCGCTCTGATGTCCATCTGTCTTGCTCATTTACTTCTATACACCGCTGAATGAAATCTCGTAATTCTGTACTTAGAGTGGTTGGTAAAGTTGGTACAATCTGTGGAATTTAAATAAGTTTTTGCCATAAATAAAGAAACAATTTAGGCAAAAACAAATGCACTAAAAATAGGTACATATTCCATAATACTGTATCTTTAAGAATGATTAGGGTCTGTTACTCTTCTTACAAATTGATTTACAGATAATCAAGTACAACATCTTTATTACTGCACCATTGTATCACCCTGAAGATCAAGCTCAAATCCAGATGCAACTAATGTGAGTCATGTGAGTAACTCAAGACTTTATCTGTGACACTACTCAGTCATGTCATTGCTCAGACATAGTCAGACTCCCTCATTAATTGCATCACCTGTTTCCCGTTCATCTACAACTACTCCATTAGCATAAGCAACCCCAAATTTAAGACTCCATTCAAGAGGCAAAAAATGAAATTTAACAAGTGATATTACTCGAGCACCAAGAGAGAAATTTTTGGCCCTACTGCTACCTTTGATTTACGGCCCTTAATGCCCAGCCCCATCACCACCTTAATGCTCTACAGGATTCTAAATACAATGAATAAGCATTATGTATGATATAAAATTGAGAATGATTTCTCTATTACTAACTTGATTTGTGACGTAGATTAAAAAATAAAAAAATTTTAGTTTCATCGGTGTATTCACATAGCTATACAACCTTCTTGACCTACAGAGTAAGCAGATGTTTTGTGTTACCCCTTCCACAATGTCACATTTGAGAATTGCCTTAAACCCAAATTGTTTTCTTGTAAATGATAATTCCCTTGTAACATAACTTCAGGGTTCTATTCAATATACAGTACAGTACTGTACTTTAAAGAAACTTAATCAACAAATTCTCCAAAAAATTGGCATCATAGGTATTTGCTCATTGCTGATACTGTACTGAAAAATGAGATGGTGGGGCAAGCCACTAAACTGTTACTGGTACTCATGGCAAAATCAGATACACTGCATATACCTGTACCTGTACTGTATGTGATGAAGACTTGGTGACAGTATGTAGCATGCTCAGTAGTATGAAAAATTTTATGACAAGAAACTCTACCGTACTTCAATTGAAACTTTCTATATAACGTTCAGAATACGCAGACAATATGAACTAACATGACGTGTAGCAAAAGGTACACTGATGTACTGTATGATTGAGGGATTATATAACTCCTAAAAAAGTAAACAATATAAGTACAGTATAAGTTGAAAATCACCAAAAACACAAAATAAAATATGTCTTACTTGCTCAACTCTTTTACCAAGGAAAAGTGAGAGGACGATGAGACCGAGCCGATAAATATCATTCTTCTTACCGCCTCGTCCTGGAGATAATGGGTAGACTGATGGAACTTCAGAGTCTATGAATTCAACCACAACTTCCACTATTCTTCTTCCCACTCCATAGTCCGCTACCCTAATTTTTTGAGACTGAATATCGAGGAATATACAAGAGTCTCGGAGGTCTCTGTGCACAACATTGTTCTGGTGCAAATAGCTAAGGGCCTGCAACGTTCCCTCTATAATGTGTTTCATGAAAGGGATATGGATGGGGATGCTACGATCCAACCAGTACTTCAAGGAAATTCCCTGTACATGCTCTTGTAAAACAGACACAATGATACCTTCATTTGGACGATGAATGACTTTCATACCCAGGTAATGAACTAAATTATCATGAGAGAACCGTAGTAATGAACTCATTTCCTTCTCTAAAGCAGAAAATTTGCTTATCAAATCTTCAAACTGACTTTCTTGTCCAACTTTCATGTGATTTCCTCTTCTTCCTGTTCGTTTAGGTTTGACATGCCACTGATAGATAACACTCCTCTCTGATGATCCTTTCTCTCGCGTTTCTAGTATACAGCAGCCTTGATTTTTACGCTCCCCTATACACCCCACCACCACAACAACACGTTCTTGTTTTCCTGCAAGAGAGAAGTGCACAACAGTACTTCCTAATGAATCTCCTGATCCACTTTCTGTGCTGCATTCAGATAGCGATCGACTCTTCCCTCTGCAAGTACAAAATTACTTTAATCAAGGCAGTGTACTAATACTTGTGATTTATTGGTGCATTTCTCACTTTCACCTTCAATTATGAGACCAAATCTTTAAAAAAATATCTAACTGATGATAAGAGAAGTATTGGAGTGCATAAGAAAAAAAACAATACAATGAATCAGAGTTTCTTGTCTCTTACTTCCAGCATGACCCAGATAACAGTATATTAACACTCCAAAATGTACAACACAAAATATGATGACAAGGCATATCATTTCTTACTTTGAAGTGAAATAGTTCTGACAATGTTGCAATACAGCTCAAAATCTATGGCAACCTTTGTACTTAAAAATCAAAATGTAGACCTACTTTTACTGGCATACAGGCAAATAAAGAAATGAATGAAGGATTTATAAAAAAAAATCAAAATGCTTCATCAAAATACTGTACACACTTACCGCCTAGGAGAATCTGACACTTCAGCACCAGGTATCTTGTCACAGTTAAGATCGGACAAGAAAGATGGTCGAAACCTTTGTCCTCGTCTCTGCCTCTCTTCTTCTTTTAATTCCTCTTTCACTCTGAGCAAGGAATAAAAAGACACTTGTTTTCAAGGTTTGCAGTGCCCTGGTGGGGCCTCACACACAGCTGCCAACACCAAGTAATGACCTGATCATGATTACAAATGATCTAATTATTGGATCAGCTTTAAAAATATACCTGATCTGGGATGTGATATCAAAAAAAGGCAATTTTGTCTCAATGTTATTCAAATTCTACAAGAGCATTCTAAAGCTGGATTATCCCGTGCTGCACCCCGCAAGGTTGGGCCTGCTCTCACACATGCTGATTAAGGAGCTGAGTTCAAAAAATAAAATATGAGTAGCTAAATGATGGTAATTATTGACCCTAGATATAACATAAACCATTATAGTGTAACTAATTAATTGATTCATGTGCATTTTTTAGCTATTTTTATACGATTTCTAGTTAGAATTAAACTCCAAGTTATGTAAAAACTTCTAACCTTGGTATTTTAGTTTTTTTTAACTATCATCACCATAATATTAGTTTAAGTTTCATATTATTCATACCATATACACTATCTGTACAACACTGTACAGTAAACCCTTGCCATTTGCGAGAGATAGGTTCCAAGAAATGGCGCGAATTGGCAAATAGCAACTTATACTACCTTAGTGCACTACTGTATACCTATACCAAACAACTGACCAGCCGTGGCAGCACTCATCCCCTTTTAACTTTTCTAATAATAAAACTTTCTTTGTCAGGGTCATCAATGACTTCTGCCTTTTACATTTCACTCCACTAGCATCAGTAGCACTGACACTAGGCAGTCTTTTAGGGGCCATTTCACACAGAAACACTAAAGTTTTGAGTGTACAGCATGAGATGCTGCGTGGGGTGACTCGTTGTGCTGCGAGAAAAGGCTTGCGAGCTAGCCACCATCTGCTTACCGCGAATCGTTGAAATAGAGAATGGCAAGGGTTTACTGTACAGTATATAGTATCACTTTACTGTCTTTTAGTTTAGTCTGAATTAAATTATTTTAATTTTCCCCCAATCTGTCATTGTAGTCCCTAAACCCTTCCCCATTAGGTTTAAGCACAGTATTACCTGATAACATCTGCAGTTTTGACATTTATGTAACTAGTTAGAAATGTAACCCTCATGAATGTTGAGGTCCACCTGTACATAGTATGTAAATTACACTTCTTAAAGTAGAAAATGTTGTAAGAGACTCTTCTTCTCTTCTTAATCAATGGCAGTTGATGGACCTTAACCAATGAGGGCAACACCCATGGTTGCTTCATAAAGAACTCTAGTATAAAGTGAGAAGTTAAAACCTTTTCGGAAAAGATTACCTTCTCAGGTAGTGGGCAGCACAACCAATCCCCCCCTTCCATTTGATAACCTCACCAGGACACCATCTCAAGGTGTACTCAATAGGGGTGTCTTCCTATTTTTTACATTGAATATTGCATTTTTGTAGATATAAAGACCTGGAAATTTCATCACAAATACTGTCCAACATTCCTGCATTACAGCGCAAGTTACCTGGCAAGTTCCTCTCGCATGATAGTCCGCTGCTTTTCTTCTTGTATTTCTTTCTGTCTTCGAATTTCTTCCTTTGCTTGTTCATTTGCTTTCCTGCGAGATTCCTGTCCAGCAACCATCTCATCATAGATACTGTCTGTATACGGTCTTGCATGTTCACTGAGGTAGTTCTGTAAGATAGGATGCTTCAATCACCAAACATTGAAATTTCAAACTAAATTACAATGCAAAAAATACAAATACAGCATTGAAAAATAGAACTGAGCCTGGATCTGTCATCTCTAATTCTGTGGCTGAACAGGATATTAATAAGGAGACATATGGAAGAAAATTATCTAAACTCCTTTTAGAATGTAAACTTGTACCTTCATCATACAGGTATATGCCTACAGTGATTTGTTAACTGATGTTACACTTCCAATGAAAGCAGAATATAATCTGACAGCCAATACACCCACCTACCCACCCAAATGCACTCTAAGGATCAACTCCCAGTATCCATGAATAACTGATCTTAAGGTTTTACTTAACTGAAACAAGTGATGTCTCACACAACAACCCCCAAACCAAATAATCAAAGAAAAAGAAAATGAACATACAGTTTTGACTTGCAAACAAAATTAACACTTTATGCCCCTTCTTTATAGGATAAAATGTGTACACAAAACTCACTTGTGTATGCTGACAAAGTTCTAACATAACAACTGTTCCATCTTGAGCCAATTCATGAGCTTTTCTCAGAAGCTGACAATTAAGTTCCTCCACTTCCTTTGCAGCGAGGCCATTGTATGATTCTATCATCACAATAGCTGGCCTGGAAGAACAAAAAACATGTGAAAATTCACTGAAAATGCAAAACTCCTTTCATTACATGTATATTTTTTTTACAAAGGTATGGGATAGTGAAAATTGTTGAATACTGCCCAAAATATTTACAGGGAGTCTGAAATATGTGTGTTAGAGTTTGTCAGGAGGTGGAAATTTTTTCCCATTAACAGTAGGAATACATCAGTAATGTTACATCCCCAAGGTAGCTCAATATTTCCATATGGTGAGCAGAAAGAATTGTGCAACCAAGAAATAGGTACAGATAACATGGATTAAGTGGTTGATTTTGAGGGCATATAATGCAGAGCCAACTGTAACCTTCATGCATGGACTTAAAAAATAAATACTGTACAGTGAAGTTGACAGAAAAGAAGCATAACACACAGAGTAGTTGAAGGTATGGAAGGGGTAAATTAACGGAGACAGTAAAAACAATTAACTGAATAAGTGAGTTAGGGTGTATCTAAGGTTACAAATAAAAGTACTCTCTTAGGGTTGTTAATTTACTTATAAAAGAGAATTACCCTTCCAATTAACAATTCAGTAGCCAGATACTGTACACAGTGTACAGTATTCTATTTCCCTTTCCACCTACAGTACAAATGCCTTACACTATAAAATCAAGTACTGTACTGTACAATTAACAGTTGATTTTTTGACTAACATCACAAAGCTTAACAGCAACAAATTTATGAAGGCTATTATCTTACTCATATGGGTATCTTTCAGTTGTATCTATTTTCAACACCACTTTGACGTGAGTGTGAAGTGTGCCTCCTTGTGAGTGATGAGGGCCCAGGGTAATTTGTACTTCAGGTGGTCTAGACACTTTCCATGCATCTTTTTCTCTTAAGTCGAGAAATTCATCAATATATGCACTCTGAAATAAAAGACAGTATCTTAATTATTAATTTATCAAACAACAAACTTTCACATTTAATAGCAAATATTTCCAACAGTAATAGTCATGCAAAAATATGTTTGGTTATCACTACTTTATAATCATATACTGTACAGTATAGATTTACCCTCGCATGAGCCTATTGTACATTCTCCAACCTTCAACCCAGCCCCTTACTCTTCCTTAAAACAACTCCCATGCACATTCTGTGCAAATTCTGACATTTTTCTGACACTAAAATTCTGCTCCAAAACTTTTTTATATATTAATATTTTGCATGAAACCTCACACGATATTAATGAAGATACTGTAATAATTAATTTCTTGAGCAAATAGAAATGGATTTTGATGAAACTAAATATTTTGGGTGTTATTTAACAATGAGTTTGGTAATGCGAGTTTTATCTTGTGGCCCACACAAACATCAAAGGTTTCTCGGAGTCTGGTTTCCTCCTAAACTAACACTGGATAGGCTAACTGCCCAAATGGCTAATAAAGTGATAAGTGGTGAAAATCATAAAAAAAAACGTTTATTTGCACTATAAAATCCTACTATCTTTCTTTGAATATAGCACGTATACAACCAATATACAGAATTACAGATTCCAAACCTTTCTAAGGGTTATTCATACAAGCACATTTCACCATATACAATAAATACAATACAGTAAGTCCACGCTTAACGTCGTCCCGCTTAACATTGTTTCGGCACTACGTCGCTGAACTTTAGAGACCAAAAATTCATTTAACGTCCCGGTGATCCGATACTACGTCGTTTTGCATCATCACGGACTACATTTTACGGTGCATCACCCGCTCTCGTCTGGCCACGCTATGCTCTCTCGGCTTGGCGCAGAGTCTCAGTGACTCACCACCCTTCTCCTCTCCCACCCTCCTCTTCCCCTTCCGCCATCTGCCTCCTCTGCTTCACTATCCACCACACACTCGCTCTACCACCTCCGCCCATCAGTGAGTACCAATACAAACTTAGTAGTTGTATATGTATGCATTATTTTCTATAAAAATGGCAATGATTTTCTGTATATGTAATGTATTTCATGGGGCAAAGGGAGGCTCAGGAACGTAACCCCCATATTTTATCTATTTCTTATGGGGAAAATTGATCCGCTTAACGTTGTTTCGTATAACGTCGCATTTTTAGGAAAAGAACCCCGACGTTAAGCGAGGCCTTACTGTACTGTAAACTGTACTGTACAATACAACTAATTTACTAACATTTAGGATGACACAATTGTAATTTAATGTTTGTTCCAATCATCCTCTCCTGGTTCAGTTGATTAATTACTTAAAAAATAAAGAATGTATAATGAAAAAGTTTGCTTCAGTGAAATTTTATGCTCATTATATCAATCACACCAAGAAAAAAATAAAATAAATCCTGATATAAATAGTAGAGTACACTAGTGTACAGTATACAGGTATCAATTTTTATGAAAGAGCTTCTTACTTCTGACACTCAGATCATAAGCTACAAGTTAACTGCAAGGGTCTAGATCAGGGGTGGGCAATTATTTTTGATGGAGGGCCACTTCATGAATGGTGGCACACTTCGCGGGCCACAGGTTAACAGCGACGAGCCAGTATTGCTGCTATGTCCACCCAACTTCCAAAATTGTCCTTTCTGTAATTAATAAGAATTTTTTTTTTCTGATTGCCAAATGCAGTGGCGGGCCACAGAAATAATTTGGCAGGCCATATGTGGCCCGCGGGCCGTACTTTGCCCACCCCTGGTCTAGATCTCCCATCACCACCAAGACAAAACTAGCCATTGCTAATTCACAAAGTCTTCAAGACAAAACTCATATTACCAGACTCATTGTTAAATAACACCCAAAATGTTTAGTTTCATCCAAATCCATTTCTAGTTGCTCATGAAATTAATTACTATTGTAGTACAGTACTGTACTGTACTGTATTTCATTAATATTTCGTGAGGTTTCATGCACCATCTCATATTGTCAAACCTGGAATTAAGTTCACAGAAAGACAAATTTAAAAATACATGAGGACACTTACCTTCATGAATTCTACCTCTCCCTCAACAACTTCAAGACGGGAGTCCTCCATAGTGAGGATCACGGCCTACCGAGCAGTTTTGTCTAACTGTCGTCTTCTCCACATTTTGTGCAGTAAAGTTACCATTCTCTCCATATACTGTACTGTATGTCAAGTTTTCTGCATATCACAGCCAAAGCAAGATAGTGAGAAGTCACTGTAGAAAAAAATTACATCATATACACTGTATATACTGTATCAAATTAGTACAGTATAAATCATGAAGAAATAACTAACATACACATGTGTTGCTTCATGTCATATGAATTACAGTATACAACCTCTTTAGTTTTTTGCATAATTTGCCACATCAAATTTTTAGTTGACCTGACCTCCAAGTAGTCTCTCATGGGTCAAAACTTATTTCATGTAAAACACAGAATGATGGTTCTCGGTATCATTCTCTTAGCTCATGAAGAGATCCATCTGTCACTTTTAATTCTCTGAGAAATCAAAAGGAAAGCAAAACTATTTTTGACACATGACCTAAACTGTCCCAAGTACAGAATATGTATGCAGTAATTTACTGAGTTAATCAATACTGTACAGTATATGCATAAGTAGAGCCATCTACCAACCATTTATCCACAAAGTTTACACAGAAAGTACTACTGAGCTAAACTACTTCTACATACAGCAGATAATATGAATCAACCAAACCAAACTTGGGATGATTAAGGTAGGTTTGTGTCATCTCTTGTCAGAAATGGTTTAGCCCTGTAACATCTGTTGTGGATGGTCAAGGAGAGATGGTGGGTGGTAAGGTCAAAGATGTTTGCAAATACCTGTATATCATAAATACGTTTATAATACATAAAACATTACAATCTGTAATTAAATTTTGTCCAATATTATTTAACAATAATTTTAATGACCAGTTGATTAAATGGATATTGCAAAACAAACTACAGATCGTACCCAATTTCTGAAGATTCAGTTTCCAAAAATCCCAAGTTATGAAGAAAAAATCTAAAGTATCAATTTACATAAAAAATAATGTACAGGTAGTTCTGCTATAACGCGATAATTGTGTTCTTGTAAAATATCGTGTTATAGAAAATCGCGTAATAGAAATAACAGGGCTTATGGAGAAAATAGGGTTAGGTGCAGTTTACTCGAAATCGAAAAAATTTAGTAGTTAGCCTAACACAAAGGATAGCACAGTCTAAATAAATGTTACATTCATATCTAATAATGAAATCATACAGTAAATTTAACACTTTACCTTGAAAAAATATGAATGTAACTTGATGGGGGAGAAGGGTGATTTTGAGGTTGATAACATCAAGCTTCTCTTCAAGTGTTATATCCTTTCTTTTACGATAATCACCGGGAATTCTATCATCAGAATGCTTTTTGGAGATATTCTTCTTTACCATATTCACAGTTAATACCACAAAATTGGAGAAATAGTAAGCAAAAATCGCGTTATAGCAAACAAGCGATCGCGTTATACAAATATTGTTCCGAATTCATAAATCGCGTTAGAGCAAATTCGCGTTATCAAAACACGCGTTATAGCAGAACTCACTGTAGTTACATTTTCTGTTTTTGCAATTTGTTTGCAGCATCAGAAAGATGGTGAGGTTCTGAAACGTATATCTCAGGGCTTCCCATACTGGCCCTGATCAGTTTACAGTATAAAGACACACAAAATACAACATACAGTACCATACAGTGCTGTATTATGAATGGTTACCATACATAAGCTAAAAATACTCTATTGACTTCCAATACAGCAATACTGAGTTAGGTTGGACTAGTTTAGGTAAGTTTTGCTTATAAAACTAAACTAATGACACAGCGAAACAAAGTTATGTTAGGTTAAGTTATGCTTACCAAAAAATAGACTCCCGACACAACAATACACAATTAGGTTAAGGCTGAGATAATAAGTTAGGTTGCTGTAAATTTTAAATTGAGTAAATTTTTTCAAATCCTGCAACGGTTTATTCTAGTCATCGTCCGCTCTCCAGCAAGACCTGATTAATATTAATTTCATTCACAGAAACTTGAGAAATCCACTTGTCTTTCATATGCACAACTGCCCAATTTCTAACTGTACTTCTATATGGTAAGATTAAACTTGCACTGATCTTGATAGAAAGATATAGATATTTATCCAATAAAAACTGCAAACCTGCACAAGTTTATATTGATTCAGTAAAGAGGAAAAAAGAAAGTATTTATATAGGCAATAGTTACAGTATACTTCTAGCTAAGCACAGGATACAGGTACAGCAGCTTAATGTGCATGCTTGGTGGGCAGACTATACAATGATAGTTACTAAGATGGCCTTCTTTCCGAAAAACTTAATCTAACCAAACCTAACCCAATCCATTGATTTTTGGTGTATGGCTGCCGTCCCTGTATCCATAACGATACTTTTGACTAGTATTGATGACTACACCAACGACGCGTTATTTGTTTTAATGTTTATATTTTTACTATATTTTCATCAATGAGTTCTGATATGATAATATTTTTGGGGGGTTTGGTTAGGTTATGTTAGCTTAACGTTAGGTTAGGTTTGGTTTAGATGAACTTTTAAATAAACACTTTTTAACACATTTGCCATAACTACAACATTGTCCACTATAAAACAAAGTGAAATTGCAGCATTTTTAAATTTGTTTACTATGAAAAATCAGCGGTGGTGTAGTCGTTAATAATTACCATACTTTTAACCATGTATGTATACAGATAATACAAGCATACATGTCAGCAAGTAACTACTGTATACAGACAATGCAGGTACCGTACATGATTCTGCTGGTATACAGGATATACATCGTTTTTTATCACCTTCCGGACTTTCTCATAAGAATCCCAATGAAAGTATAACAACCTTTTTTTCATAAGGTCCACACTTCAGGGACAAATGTATCACTAATCATAAAGTGTTACCGTAATTTTGATACAAGGATTATTTGTTCCTGTTCTCTCACCATACCTCCATACAGAACCCCTAAAACATTTAAACCATTAAGCTGGCAATATCTTAAACCTCTAATTTATTGAGAATTTGTGTTCAATTTCAGATTTATATTTACAATAGAATAATAGTTAAAAGGCCTCGCTGCTTGGTATTATGGCAGTTTAAGCCAAACTCGGTTAGAGCAATTTTGTGTGGGGAGAGGGTGATACCTCAGTAACCACTCATTTCCAAAGGCAATAAAGGTCAAATCCGTATGAATCCAACCATATACCATGGGAAAACAAAAAATTATGGTTTAATAGTAGTTGGGGCTGAAACGGCAAATTTACCCGCCACTCAACCTTCCGATAACTTATCAATTATTCGTGACACCAACAATCTCACCTCCACAATGGCACAAGTATGACAATGACTCTCTTATTCGCCACAGTATTATATATAACACTATTCAAGTTAATTACATAAAAAAAAGTGAGAAGATAATACCTGGTGAGGGGGTGTGGAGTGTGTGGGCCCCAGTCACTTGGCGGGGGACTGGGGGTGTCGTCACCTGTCTGTGTTTACATCTGTTAATGTGGCCTCGTGGAGTTAGGGATATAAGGATAAATAGATAGATGGATACATAGATAGATGTTTATAGAATAGAATCATCATATAAATTTACATTGATTTAGTATGTATTGTATATGATAATGTAGGTATATGAATAGGATATGTATAGAATATAGATAGTGTAGGTTGTGGGGATGTTTGGTTCACACTCAGGATGGGTGGAGAATAGGGTTGCCATACGTCCGTATTTTCCCGGACATGTCCTCCACTTACATCTCGAAATCTTCATCCGGAAGGAATTTTTAAAATTCTTCAAAAGTCCGGAATTTCAGCTTCCATCATTTTCTCCACGGAAAAAAAAACATGAAACTGTAATGACGGGAGAGCGAGAGAGGGGAGGTGGAAACCGTAGAGATCTCGTTCAGTTTTCGTCAGCTGATAAGTCACTTGTACGCCTGTTCGGTGTTGTCAACTTAGGGGTCAAATATTTGATTGATGAGGGGGTAGAAGTTGATGAAGTGTTTTGATCAAGTTAGTAACCTGAAGCAGTTTGTGGAAAATTACAAGTGATGAAGAATTTAGTAATCTGCCAACACATAAAAAGTGGACCAGATACTTTGAAAAATCAAAGAACATTGAATGCCACTCACAATTGCTAAGAATTGCACAATTCTTCTTTGGTATATCATGTCACAATGCAAATGTAGAAAGAGTTTTTTCACTCATGCAAAGTCAATGGACAAAGGAAAGGAACAAATTGAGTGTTAACATAAGAACATAAGAATGGAGGAAACTGCAGCGGGCCTATTGGCCCATACTGGGCAATGAAAGGCATTCTGACTGTACAGTACAACTTCCGAGAAACATCTTGCAGTGACTTCTATACCTTTCTAAAGAGCAATCAGCCAATACTGAAAAAGATCCGATCTACAGAAAAGTATGCATGGGCACACCAAGTCACACACACAGTGGGGGAAGAAGACTGCAGCTAAGGGAATGAAGATGTTCAGCCTTAAGCAAAGGTAATTTTTTTTTAAGATTTCTATACCATGTATGTTGTATATTATCCTGTGTGTGCCGGGCGGGGGGGGGGATGTCCTGGGGGGGGGCGTCCTCTTTTTTTAATGTTCAGATATGGCAACCCAAGTGGAGAAAGGAAACTCACAATGTGCTCTCTGTATACATGTTGTATTGGATGTACAATGCAGCTTGGTGCTGGGAAGGCAGCATGATTACAAGCGTGATGTAGAGAGAGCTGATTGGTGAGGATGCTCAGAGGAGGACAGCTTGTGAGTCGCCATACGCTCGCCGGCGGTAGCGAGGACCGCCAGGCAGGCGGAGGAGGAGGTGTTGCTGGCGGTTACAGGACAAACTCCCAGCCTCTTATCCCAAAAGTGGACAAAATCCCAGTCTTATAAATAAAAGCACCATCCATGTGCCATTGGCTACTTCTTGAAAGGAGACGAAGAGATACTTCAGTAGCGAATATGATGACTCGGTCATTAGTATCAGCACCACTATCATGTATCAGAAATGGCCTCGGATTGTTACCTCCTGTTTCAGTCCACTCTTCATCCAAGTGAAGTTCTGCAAGAGAGGAGGGTTCCTTGGGTCTACAACCACGCCTCACCCGCCTAATGTCACGGCATATGGTATCCGGCTTCCCAGCTCTGGCACGCACTTCATCAGTGGCCTCAAACATGGCATCCGCAAAAATCTGAGTAGTTTTGGCTTTCTTTGTTCGAGAATCATCCTTGATCTGATGGCGTAGTTTGACAACTGCAACATGGACTGCATCTGGATCATGGCTGTGCTCTTTGACACTCAGTGGAACTGATATGTCATGATCAGTGCTGATAGCTCCTTTACAAGAGAGTGATGCACGATTGGCACATTCCCAGCGAATGTATTCTTCGTCTTGGTTTCCTTGGTGTACATATATCCTTCATAGCAGAGTTTCTGGCCTCCCTTGTTGCTCTTGATGAGTTCCATGGGTGAATGAAAAGTAATACTGATAAGAAGAGCATACGACAAACTTTTATATACCCCCTTAAGTTGTCATGCCAACTTAGCCTGTCACAAATGGTTAGAGTTAATCGAATTAATCTGACAGGTCAGGTCAGTCCAGGTGGCTACTCTGAGGTCAGATTAACTCAAGATGAGGTCCGCTTAAATTCCAAACAGGTAACAGTTCTCAAGGTCTCCCAGAAATTAGTACAAATTTAGATGAAGAGTATAATTATTTTGTAGACACCGTTAAGGAAATTCAAAGAGATTACATCCCTATGAAACAATTTAGGTCAACCAAGAATGAACCAAAATGGATGAACAGTAGGATTAAGCAACTTACGTTCTTGTGCTGTTATGGAACAACAATCATAGGTGTTATTATTTTGTCGTGTTTTTTTTTATTTTGCCACACATAAAAATTGTATACGATACCTTAATACAATATAATATAATATCATATTATTAATATGATGACAGGCGAATGGTCTTTACACCTAATCTTATTAATTAATCTTATATGAGACTGGGTTTTTGTCCACTTTTGGGATAAGAGGCTGGGATTTTGTCCGCTGGGATTTTGTCCACTGGGATTTTGTCCACTGGGTTTTTGTCATGGAATCGTTGCTGGCTGGTTGGTGTAGGTAGAAAGAGAGAGATCACCACGAGGTCAGGTCTTAAATAGCGGGGGTTGGCGTGGCTTAGTAGTTGACCCCGCTCCGTGGGCGGCGCTGGTTGACCTAGACCACGAGGCATACACTGGGGAATTCGTTGGGTCAGCTACACAGCGACAAACAGCGTTTGTAGGGGAGAAATCCACTACAAGGTATCTAAATCCAAATCAATACGAAAGATAGATACATAGATAGATAGAAATACATTCAATAAAACCATCGTACAAATTCACATTGGTTCAACTCCAACATGTCAATCAAACAATCAGAGTACTGTCCTCATCTCTGAGGGTTGGTGACCACGATTCCATGACAAAAACCCAGTGGGATGACCACAGTCCTCCACTCTAAATTTACGTACTATTCATTAAGTTGGTTTAAGCAAGGTCAGTAGTGATTCTTCGGATGTCTATCACCCAACCAATCAACTGCCTTGCTTACAAACTGACCCTTGCAAGTTTCAAGTAAACAGACTCTAGAGATGTGCTTCCCTGTTTGGAGTACTGTCTGATCCCGAGGTATGCTAGAGACCAGAGGCCGGATACTCAAAACACCTCATCAGTTACGTATATTAGCGAGATACAGTACCATGTATTGCAGACTCCTCACAGTCCCGTAAATTTAGCAGTCAAAATTTAATTATGGCTCGCTAGTCGCCCGGGCGATCGGTCACGTCTCTGTCACGCACTGCTGGCAAATACTGGGCATGCACCGGCTCCTGAATGTACCTGAACCCGCTCCAGTGTTGGTCAAGTCTTGTCTTGAAAGAGCTCACACTCAGTGCCGTCACAACACTCTCTGGTAGATTGTTCCAAGAGTTTACAACCCTCACTCCGAAAAAGTTTACCCTCACAGTTTTCTGGTCTTGCGGCTTCTTCAATCTTCAGCTGTGACCCCTTGTGGGGCGAGCGTCCGCCAGCTCCAAGTAAGGACACTCGAATGAGCGGTGCCCCCTGAGATGCTTATACACCTCAACTAGGTCACCCCTTGCCCGTCTGTAATATAAGCTAGGCAAGTTCAGGCGCTCCAATCTCTCAGGGTAGCTGAGGTGCCGAAGTGCAGGCACCAGTCTGGTGGCCCTCCTTTTAACATTTTCAACCAACTGACAGTCCCTAGCATATCTCGTGGACCAAACAGGGTGACAGTACTCCAAATAGGGAAGCACTTCACTCTTGAAGATCGTTACGACCTTCTTATAAGACCCAATAATTTATTTGCCTGGTTTACCTTCTTCTCGCAATGGCCCGAGAACTTCAGCTCATTGTCAACATACACACCTAGGTCCTTCTCACATTCAGTCTCAACTAATGCAGTTTCTTCATCCCGTTGGGACATATGATACGCCTCCTTATCGTTGGTACGCCCCAGGTACATCCTCTTACATTTCGTGACATTGAATCTCAGCAGCCAATCCTTCGACCATTTCTGGAGCCCACAGAGGTCCTTCTGCAGCTCTTCACAGTCAGCTTGGTTCTTAATTTTCCGAAATAACTTAGCGTCATCGGCAAACATTTGTATGGAGGAGTGTACAACGTCATGCATGTCATTTATGAAACAAACAAACAACAGTGGGCCCAATACACTGCCCTGTGGTACCCCACTTGTGACAGGTACGGATGGCGATTTCGTGCCATTAATCACCACACACTGCTTGCGGTCATGTAGAAAGTCTTCTATCCATGCTAGGACATTTCCCCGAATTCCGTACCCTTCCAGTTTGATTTTCAGCCTTTCATGGGGTACACTGTCGAAAGCCTTGGCAAAATCTAGGTAAATATTGTCGATATTACCACCCCGTTCCAGAATATGGGTCCAAATATCCAATACCTTGAGCAATTGTGTTAAGCAGGAGCGCCCCGGCATAAAACCGTGTTGGCAATCTTTTACAAGATAGTTTCGTATTGGATGTTCCATTGTGGCATCTCTGATAATACTCTCAAGTACCTTACTTATTATGCTGATCAGGCTCACCGGTCTATAGTTGTTCGTGGAGTGCCGATCGCCCTTCTTGAAGATAGGACTCACATAAGCCACTTTCCATTCACTGGGGACCATTTGTTCATCCAGGCATTTACAAAACAGGATCTTCAGGGGCTCTGCAAGCTCGTTGCACAACTCTCTTAGCACTCTAGGATTCACCATGTCAGGGCTGGGACTCTTATGGACCTTTAGCCTGGACAGTTTATCTCTAATACCCTCTTCTGTAAACACAATGTGGGTCAGTGCTGTGTCGAACCGTCTGTCCTCAAACGCAGGAAGGTTAGTTGCATCCTCTCTTGTGAACACCGAGGAAAAGAAGCTGTTCAATGCCTCAGCTTTATTCTGGTCAGAATTATCGTAACTACCATCCACCAGCCTCAGGTCTGATACTCCTACTCGCGTTTTCAATTTCGACTTTGCATAACGGTAAAACGCCTTTGGGTTTGACTTGACCTCGCTTGCAACCAGCCTCTGGAACTCCTTTTCAGCCCTTCGTACACTCTATCTTTGATTGGTTTCTGGCTCTTGCATACATCCTCCTGTCTTGCTCATCGTTTGACCCAACCCAAGTCTTGAATTTCTGGGTTTTCTTCTTAATTTTGTCGACCGCCGCATGGTTCATGTGTAGGGATCCCCTCGTATTCTTAGAAGCACTGGGTTTGGTCTTGGGTATATATTTATCGATCAAATGAGTCACTTTACTAGTTGTGATATTCAGCGGTGTCTGCGTTCTTGTACCACTCATCTCTTCCCTCATCCCATTGTAATTTCCCTTGTAATATTTGCACCTTGGTTTGGCCTTATCCTGAACTAGGTAACAGTTAAATCTGAATGACAACACTATATGGTGACTGGTGCCAACTGGGGCAAGGTGTTCTAGTTTGGCCACCATACCCTCCTCGTTTGTTATGATGAGGTCAAGTGGCTTGGGTGTTTGTTCCCCTCTGTAATGTGTCGGGTCTCTAACATGTTGGAACAGAAAATTATCTCTCAGAATTTCTACAAAAAGAGTAGCAGGGTTATTCAAGTCATTTGGGGTGGACTCGTTTCTACAGTCGATGTCGCCATAGTTAAAGTTCCCCATGATAAGGAGGTGGCTAGGGTTGAGCATTGCCGCGTTGTTTATTAAGGTTCTTAAGTTTCTTTGATTTAGTGGGCCACAGTTTGGGGATCTGTAGATACACCCGACGATAAGTAAGTCCCCTCCCTTTGATTAAATTTTACACCACTTGGACTCTTCAAAAACATCCTCTCCCTGTACCCTCGCCTGGCTGGCTCTAAGGTCTTGCCTAGCATAGATAACCACACCCCTCTTGTAAGTTTCTTGAGAAAGGTTCGTAAATGAGTCATATCCAGCAATACTGAACTCACATTCCTCTGGGTCGATTCTCCAGTTCTTGTACAACAGTTCTGCTGTAGTGGATTCCTCCCCTACAAACGCTTGTCGCTGAGTAGCCGACCCCGAGAATTCCCCAGTGTATGCCTCGTGGTCTAGGTCAACCAGCGCCGCCTTACATGACGGAGGTCAACTATTAAGCCACGCCGACCTCCGCTATATAAGACCTGACCTCGTGGTGACCTCGCTCTTTCTACCCACACCAACCAGCAAGCAACACCACCTCCTCCTCCTGCCTGGTGGCCCTCGCTCCCGCCAGCGACCATGGGAACCCAACATAACGTACCCCACAACCTCACCTCTTCACATGTTTACGTGACCTACTGAGCTGACTGATCTTTCTAGTTACTACCTTAGTTGTTAGTTCTCATATTTGAGTTGTTCAGGCTGAACGTGTCCAGCATATGGGTTAAGCTTCAGAGCTTACAAAGCCATCTGAGTTACTTTCTGAAATTCCGAGTGCTAGTTTTCAAAATGTCCACCAGTAAATGGAAAGGGTCCTACGACAGTGGTAGAAAACATAACAAACCGGGGGACGATGACGAACTAGACGTTTTTGCTTACGCCAGCTAGTGTTATCAAGTTCTCCACCATTATCATGCTCCACCACCATTTCAGATTAAGGTAAATCTTCACTGTAGATTATAGATATTATGTTTATGTAATTATTGGGCTCTAAATTACACAACTCCACATATGTTGGTCTTTGCGATATTTACATTCAGTCTTGCACTTCGGACAAATTCCCCAGGGCTGGACGAAATTTTCCCTCGAGTCTTGAAAGAGTGTAGGGAACAGATTAGCGGACCCCTCGTAATTTATTTACAAAATCATTAGACACCGGAGTTGTGCCAGAGTTGTGGAAACAGGCAAATGTAGTACCCATATTCAAAAAGGGAGACAGAGCATCAGCGTCAAATTACCGGCCGATCAGTTTGACGTCAGTAGTGGGGAAATTTCTTGAATCAATTATAGCAGATGGCATCCGATCGCATCTAGAGAAAAGCAAATTAATCTACGACTCTCAACATGGGTTTACAAAGGGAAAATCTTGTCTAACAAATCTGCTGACGTTTTTTTAGGAAAGTCCTCGAGGTAGTAGATAATGACGAAAATTACTATGTTATTTACGTAGACTTTAGCAAAGCATTTGACAGAGTACCGCATCAGAGGCTTCTGAGAAAAATTAAGGCTCATGGTATCGAGGGGAAAGTTTTAAATTGGATAAAATCGTGGCTCACCGATAGAACGCAGAGGGTCAGCGTAGATGGTGTTAAATCTGAGTGGGCCGTGTAACCAGTGGGGTTCCCCAGGGGTCAGTACAAGGCCCACTCTTGTTCATAATCTACATAAACTATCTAGATACTGGGATCAGCAGTGACATAAGCAAGTTTGAGGATGACACCAAAATAGGGCGGCAGATTAATTCAGGGCTGGATGCAAATGCATTACAGGAGGATCTAAATAAACTGCAGGGATGGTCTGAAAAATGGCAAATGAAATTCAACACCAGCAAGTGCAGCGTACTTAATATTGGAAGAACAAATACTGATAATGTATACAGCCTTAACAACATCAACCTAGAGAAGTCAACTTGTGAAAGAGACCTAGGGGTACTTGTAAGCCCGGACCTACTGCCTAGAAAACAGTGCGTTAATGTTCGAAATAAGGCAAACAGAGTATTGGGTTTTATATCTAGAAGTGTAAGTAACAAGAGTGCAGAGGTCTTATTGCAACTATATCTTGCGCTAATCAGGCCGCACCTCGATTATGCGGTTCAGTTCTGGTGCCCTTATTATAGAATGGATATCAATTCACTAGAGTCGGTGCAGCGAAGAATGACTCCGGGACTTAGAAACCTTCCATATCAGGATAGGTTAAAGAAACTTAACTTGCATTCCCTAGAAAAACGAAGAGTGCGGGGAGATATGACAGAAGTGTTTAAGTGGTTGAAAGGAATCAATAAAGGGGATATAGATAAAGTTCTTATAATATCCGAGCAAGATAGGACTCGGAACAACGGATTTAAGTTGGATAAGTTTAGGTTTAGGAGGGAGATAGGAAGAAACTGGTTCACAAATAGGGTGGTGGACGAGTGGAACAAGCTTAGCAGCTTTGTAGTAACTCCATATGGACCTTAACATCAGTATATAAAATATAGGTCAGTTTAAAAGACAACACATTAAAAAAATCAACTCCTGTCTTTATATCATGAATGTAACTACAAGTATTATAAACAGCCCAAACCTGGTACTGTAGCTCTATACAGTACCTATGGATCCAATGACTCCCAGCATTCTAGCACTATTGTAAAAGGCCTGCACTGTTTTGTGTAAATCATTGCCAGCAGGAAATTTTATAAACTGTTCACTAAGGTTGGCTATTGCTCTCGAAACCCTTGCAAGATACAGACTGACACAGGCTTGAGACACATCATAACAGTCTCCAAATGATATTTGGTGGCTTCCAGTCACCATGCAAAGTATTGCTAATAGAACGTGTAGGTTTGGAGGAACAGGACAACCTGTAAAGGAATCATCGAATGATAAATGAAGTAATGACAAACTCATCAGGCCCACATTCTCCTAATTTCTAAACTATAATATCCCAATCTTCCTCTTTCAATGGCTTAACCCATATGGAAAAGTGGAAGGCCGAGGTGTGCAGGAAAAAGCAAGCAGCAACATGAAATAATGTAAGCATTGATTAACATCATAATAATAACATAGCTTTATTATTATTTAATTTGACCTGGATAGGCCATGGTTTAAACCATACACATCCAGTAGAAATAACCTTTACTGTAATATGGAACTTTAAAGAAGGCTTTGTTTACCTCTTATCATTGGCAACAGGAAGCAGATCCTGAATTTCTTGGATGATACTGTTAACCGATTCCTTTCGGAGCCTAAATCGGTCAACAAATTCATCATCGCTAATTGCTGTGAATGGGTTCATGCGGTCAGTTACAATTCTGTGGAGTCGTCTTCTGTGTCGTCGTCTTTGGTCTTCCTCCAACCTTGCCTGTGCCTCTTGTCTTTATTGGTCTCCTAAGTTATTCCAAAAATTCCAGACCCAATCTTGCCGATTCATTTTTCTAAAAATTTTCTTTGGCCAATTCAACCTGTGAGTTACAAACACCGGGGAAATATAAATTTTCACATTTCCAATGTAATTTAAAAAAAATTATAATGTACAGTAATGCATAAAATAATAGGAAATGGCTTTAAGTGCTGATATGCCCTTATTATATTGTCATGGGATAAAAATTGTGGTTTTCGGATAAAACAAATTTATATACTGTATGTGGCAATTTCAATATGTTTTTGGTATTATTTTCTTTACACACCGTTCATTCCTACCACTAATCTCTTATCATATTCGAATAAGACGTCTAATTATAAGATAATTTTCATCTGTTACATTACCGGCGGAAATGTATAATAACGGAGATAGCACATCCAAAATTTTCTCTATTTTCTTCCATTAATCTTCCTCCATTATCGCCTGCCTCTCCTCCAACACTGTGTCTCCTTCGTAAATCATCCTGCTCATGTGTTCCCATACACGTCACGCAGCTAATCAAAAGCCTTTTTGCTTTTGGAACCAATCAAAATGGTTTTGGGTTTAATTCAGAGTATATTTGGCCCAATCAAAATCGAGTTTTATTTTGGGTCTCATATTTTGAAATTCAAGTTCAGTTCCGACCATAGAAGTCTGCGATGGATGTCACTTAAAGTTTACGGAGCTGATTGCGAGTTTTTTGAAAAAAAAACTTAGAAACTATGGCATTTTTTCGATCGCATGGTGTTCTTCCAACCTCAGTAAAGTGTACTAAGAGCAATACTGAATATAAATATCGCAAAGACCAACATGTGTGGCGTTGGGTATGAATCCCAGAATGCAAGGACGAACAAGAACCAGGCCAATAAGGTAAGAAATAGGTGATTCCATCATATGGTGAGAGTCAGCTAAGTTAGGTTTGGTTTGGTTATTGTTTTTCTAGTGTTTTTTTGTGTATTTTGTAGTCGCTTAGCCACTTTTTTTTTCTCGGAAAACGTCAAACGAAAAAAAATCGCTAAAAAAACCCGGCTAATTTCCGCCAAAAAGGAAGATCATATTCGGTCTCAACACACACAAATACACTAGAAAAATATATTTTTAACTTGCTAAAAGTGAACGGTGTGACATGTAAAATTTACCTTGTTTTTTAGTGAGACGGTCGTATCGATGGCAAATATTTAAAAAAGTTTTATTTATAAGTTAGTTAAGTTAAGTTAACCTAATCTTAACCTAACCTAACACATGCCATAGGCGAACTTACTATTACTGAGACGGGGAAGCTGCTGTGAAGTCCTCTATACAGTATTAGCCAAAATACTGTTACGGTATATCTGTATATCTCGGCCTACAAGGCGAAGGGATGTATAAGACGACCCCAAAAATTTCCATTTAAAAAGTAGCTTTTGACCTCTATTCCCTGTATAAGACTACCCAAAATGTGACACCATTGGAAGCTTTCTGACCCAGTAGTCCTTTACCAACCATCCCTTTGACCAGTGCTGTTTACACATCCTTGGTTTTTTAAAATAAGGCCAATTCACTTCAAGTAATGGCATCAAATGTTACCGGTTGGTGTAGTGTAAATACTAGTGACTCACTTAAGCATCTGTTATTTAACTGGAACTAATGTCCGTGTCGAGTTAAATTTTTTCATTTACTTGAAATGGATTTACCACGGTTATCAGACTGCGGGGAGCCGGGGTAGAGGGACGCTTTCTGAAACTCCCATTCTATCCCAGCTGTGGTGGTGAGGGCCAATAGAAAACGAGCTTTGATGGCTGAAAAATCCGGGCCAATGAAAACAGCTCAGTTGTGTGATGACATCGAGGGCTGATGTGCAGTTTGATGAGCGAGCGAAGCATGTGTGAGTGCTTGTGTTTGTACAACCTCTTTCAAGTTTTGTTACCTCCATCTATTTTCATCCAGCAAATGTGTTATTGTCAATTTGTAGGTGAAAAGTTTTATCCTCAATAGATGTAGGTGAAGCAAGGGGGTAACAACACACCTGGAGGCAACTGCTTGATATCTAAATTCTCGGCCTTGTGCTATAACAGCAGGTGTGCAGATTTTGGTGGAGGTGTGATAACGAAAATCGCGATAACCAAGTGCGCTATAACCAAGGGATGACTGTACAGTGCTTCGGTAATAACAATAACCTTAGTAACAGGTAAATTAGCAGATTAAGGTAGAAATACTGGAGTGAATATTATTGTTACCACATAATTTCATGGAATTGTTAATATGTAGAGCTGCATATAGATTTACTTTGTAATATTTTACCAAAATATTCACTGGTTTCAATTAGTGTGAGTTAAGTAATATGTCATGTAGAAGTTTCAGTGTTTGTTTAACTTTTTTATTTATTATTATTATTTGATTAGTAACTGATTCGTACAAATACCAGAGTGGAAATAACCTTTTAATAGCTTTTGGGGGGCTGACTATGGTTGAATCAACTTAATTTTCATCACTGTTTGAATACTGTATCTGCTTATTCTGTGCAAATGCTGAACTAGGGTGAACTTATGTGAAAATTTTACTGAATAAATATCTACCTGTTAATCTAATAATATATTAGAAAAGAACTGCAAGTTTGGGTAAAATTGCAGTTTCAGCCCCAACTACTGTTCTGCTATACATTTTTGTTTTTCCCATGGTATTTGGTCTGATACATAGTTATCAAGCCATCCTTCCAAACAAGGTCAAAAACCTTCGTATAGTGAGGGTCTAAGAGCAGGAGAAGGGTGTGGTGAAAGCTTGAAGGCAGAAGAGGGATGTGGTGAGGGCTTGAAGGCAGAAGAGGGGTATTGGTGACGGCCAGACATATGGCCACACACTCTTACACCACATCTTGACTACAAAAAAATAGAACCTTATATGGATAGACCCAAGCACACTGTGTATGCAATAGCACAGCACTTTACCTCTGATGACAAGATAGCTAATAAAAATTCTATGTTCTGACTTAAACAAACAATGTACTGGAAATACTGTAACATTCAATGCCATAATATCATGATCACTGGGGTCTGATAAACACCCTTTGTGGCCTCTACTCTGTAATTCTTTTTGTGCTTCAGCTCACAGGATGAGTATGGGGTGCATAATAAACTAGCTGCTATCTGGAAAAATTAAAAAATTCAATCATCACCAACACTCACCATCACCAGTCACCACTAACATTCACCACCACCAACTGGTGTTTACAGGGTGAGAACGTGTTCTAACTGGGGTGACAGAGTGACAGCCAGCAGACCTGGCCGGATTCAGGAGTGGGCAAAGTGGGCAGCTGCCCAGGGACCTCCACAATCTGGGGGCCTCCACATATTACAGTATTTTATTTATTTGTTTATACATTTGGATTATTTTTTTTTTATTCTTTAAAATTCATGCATTCTTGGACAGAACCATTATTTGAGTAGAGGTTTATCTGATTAATAATACAAAGAATCATCTCTCTGTAATAACTAGTAATATATTCTTTTCTGTGAAGTCCCTTGAAAATTTTTGACGTGTGCGGTAGTAGCTATATCAGGGCTGGTCGACTTGAAACCACATGAATGACTCCAGTCATGTCTCACTTTTGTGTGTGTGTGTGTTGGGAATTTGTACACTATCAATAAATATACAGTTAATTACAAATTTCTCAATGTTCTAATTTCCTCAATAAAACTGCAAATGGCTTCAACATTCTCCAAAGAAGTGTTCAAATTTCGAAATTTTCCCGGGGAGTTTACAGCGCCCCCCGGAAGTCCCAGATGTTTAGGCTCGCTTCACTCGCCACCCCACCCTCTTGGGTAGTTGTAATGAGGGGGGCCTCCACAGGTCTAAATCCGGCATTGCTAGAGACTGTTAGGTCAGAGTGTCAGGTGATTGAAAATGTCCAAAGAAGGGCCACCAGACAGGTGCCTACACGACGGCACTTCAGTTGTCCAGAGAGATTGGAACGTCTGCAATTACCTAGGTTATACTAAAGGCAGGCAAGGCGTGACTAAATGAAAATTTATAAACACTACAGAGGACACTACTTAGTCGAGTATTCATACCTAGAGATGGCGGATGCCCTCCCCACCAGGGGTCACAGCTTAAGGTTAAAGAAAGTCACAAAGTTAAGAAAATTGTCAGGGCCTTTTTTTTTTGAGAGTTGTAAACTCTTGGAACAATCTGTCAGAGAGTGTTGTGTGATCTTATTCAAGACCAGACTTGACCAACACTGGTGCAGGTACAAATACATTCTATATCTAGAGCTTGTACAGCCCAGTACTTGCCAACAGTGCGTAACAATGACGTGGCCGATCGCCCAAGCGGCTAATGAGCCGGCTCCATCAGCAGTGAAGTGGGTAAAGTAAAGTAATTTCATGTCGTTATGACTGTTCAAATAGTTTTGTCATTATTGAGTCTAAATGTATATACGTATATAGGGCCTTTTTTTATGGCACGCTACTACAACGTGTTTAAAAAAAAAACTGCGGTGATTTAAGCTATAACTGTGTGGACGATGGTTTAAATTAAGGTGTACGGGTAGTTTATAACTGACAACTATTGGTATGTTATTTATACATATACTGAGTTACCTCTATTGTACAATATCACTTAAACGGGGATTTATTTTTAAGGCAACGGGGAGAGAGAGAGAGCGAACATGAAAGCAAATTTATCAGCTAGAATCTCCAGTGCTTGTGTAGGTTAGGTTAGGTTAGGTTATCGTCAGCGCCCATCTTTGAACTATGAAAGAGAGAGCGGGATAAAAATTAGTACACACACACACACACACAAAACTGCTACAAATTATTTCTGTCGCTTAACCAATAACAAGCTCTAGTGATTTACTGAGGTTTAGAAAGCATACAAGTTTAAAAATGTACTCACCCATGATAATTATCTATTGAGATATACACTCTTCTCTCTTTGCCAGTATCACGGGACATATTTTTTGGTGTTTGTGAATGCTTAGATTTCACATTTTTCCCCAGATAATCTATATCAGTATTTTTCAGGCGCTGAACATCAAGGGGAAGAGACCAACATCGAGAAGAGGTGTTGTAGGAAGAAGAAGAATTGAATGAATGACCTGGGAGAGGAGGAACATTTCCGTATCCTAAATGAAACTTGACATAACAGACAAAATAAGTCAATGTAAAAATTAAATAAATAAATAAATAAATATATATATATATGTAAGCTCGTAATTCAATACCTTAGTCTGCATTACAAGTAGTTTAGAAGAATATGATTTTATTCTACCACAGTGAAGAGAAGAGGGAGAAGTGTTCAAGCCAAAATAGAGTACTGT